CATGCCTTTCGATCAGAAAATGGGAGATACATTCAAACCCTAAACGTAAATAAGATGACTTATATGCAGCCTTCACAGTGGGATAATATTTTTATTTCCACAAAATATAGGTTTTACTTCACAAAAAAAAAAATCTGGTTAAATATTTAAATTAACTGAGGAGGGAACAATCCTTGCCTGGTCCCTTATTCATTCTCAAAGGAACATGGGAATCGACTGACAGTGACTAAAGATTTGTTTGCATATCAAGTGACTGTCGTTTGTGCAGGTAGATTAAACACTAAGGTCAATGTTGAACCTGCAAAAGCACTCGACAAAGAATGGCATTACAGTTGTTATTAATGTGTTTGTTTTAACTTGGCACACACTCTCTGCGAGGTGATGTGAGAGGCTTTTAGCAAGATCAACAGGCAAAGTGGGTAAACAGGCTTCCCAGTGGCCATCACCTGTGGAGGATGTTATAGCTTTACCCAGCACACAGAGCCTGCCTTTAGCTTTTAAACTGTGAAAACAAGACATTGTGGGGCCTTTCACAGGCCTCATAAAGCCTTATCTCACCACTGTTGCCTGCATGGTGTGCTTTCCAAGCATGAGCCCAAATGGATTTATTCTGTCTTCCCATAGTGATATAAAACCATTTGAACACACAAATCAACCGTAGTAACGTTCTCAGTGGTTACTGAAATGCGCCGGAACCATCACTGCGAATCCACACCTTCACCATGATAAAACAATCTGTACTGCTGGTTAAGTTGCAAATGGATTTTGACAATGACGGAGGTTGGACACATCGCTAACACCGAACTGAGTTTGATGACCAAATATGTAAAACTTTGATTTAAGGGACATGACCGTCACATCCTGTAGAGAAAAAAAAATACAAGACAGACAATAGTGGCATTTAAAAATGCACTCTATTATCGCTATGATTAATATTAGTCTGGCCCTGTGGCCCAGACTAATATTAATTTTTCAATAAATGAATGTCTAGATAATGCCTTCATTTGACCAATTACCAAACAGTTTGAGACCATCTGAGGAGACCTGCTGTAATTCATTCCATTATTAGTCTACTCTAGTTGGGTCATGTTTTATATTTGTAACTAAACTTTGACTAGTTTTCTCCAGGACCTGATGCTCCAAACTGTGTTCATTCTATTTTGGATCCTATGAATGTCTTTGTGTGCAAGCAACATGTGAATTTATTTACAAAGACTCTGTTAAACACATTTTTTAATTATTATTATTGCAGATGTCAAATTCATCTCTTTCTCAAACTCATAGAAAACCTATTACTAAGCCCAACAAGGGACTGGATCTGCAAATCAACTGCAGCTTATCTACTGGACAACAGTTGTTTTGTAACACTGAATGTGTTTTCCTGATGACTGAACTCAATATGCTGTAACTTTGAGACGTGTCTCTCCTCCAACACGCCTGAGCCAAATGAATGGCTCATCAGCACTGATTTACATGCTGATGAGGGGATTCAGCCTTTTGATTCAGGTGTGTCAAGAGAAGATTTCCATCTAAAAGTTGAAAGACAGTAGCGCTTAAAGCTGGACCCAATCAGCTTTAGATGGAGCCAATCTTATAGTCAACAATTATCTTTAAACTAAGACGGCCTCTTGTCCTGCATGGTTTAGATGTTCTCCTGCACACCTGGCTTAAATGAATGGGTGATTAACAGGCTTCTGCAGTGGTTGGAGATAAAGCTTCAAACCCTCATGGCTCTCTTAATCAATCGCTTATAACTAATTTCTACTTCAGATAGTGAATATAAAATGAAGCTATCAACTCGTATTGTCACTAGAAGAGATTTTATTGTGAGGCATCAGCCACGGCTAGAGAGTCGAGTGTTTATGAACTTAATGCTCTGGGATCCCAACAGTGTTTGGTTGGTGGAAAGCATCTTGTGTGGTTTGCTGACCTGCTGAATCGGTGAACGTTACCACGCTCAAACAGGGCAGTGTCTAATCTGCAGGTTTAATTTATTTTCATGAAAACATCAAGTCTGTGTAGACCACAGTTTATCACACTCAAAGCGTGAAAACAGAAATTTGACAAGTTTTAGCAGAAGTTCACCACTGATTTTTGTAACCGCTGTTTTGTGTTGGTCATGGATTTATGATCAAGTCAAGATGAAATGTGTTTTTGTCCTTTTGGTGACTAAACAGTGATTTGGACAGATAAACTGCGTACCAACTGTGCAGTCATCTGTCTGCTTGTTTTGACAAAGCAGACGTAGCGTTGGCTTTGAATTCTGTGAAATTCCCAAAGGAATATTGGAATGTGGTTCCATTACTAAAACCTGGAATACCTTCCCTTGGGTGAGTGAAGTTGGCCGACTTCGTGCTAAACAAAGGCAAAGCAGTTCTCACAAGTTATACAACTAAATATTAGATCAGTGGTTCAAGGAAAAGCTGAGCTATGGAAACATAAGCTGCTCTAACAACTTTACTCACCGGCAATGTATTTTTAAAAAGTATTTTGGACCTAAGTACGTAACTTTAACATAAAATGACCTAAAACGTATGCTAGCATGGTGCTGAAAGCACCAGGGCGGGTTTTTACCTCTATTTACGTTCTCCCTCATGCTACGTTTGACTGGATCTGGTAGTTTTTCTCGTCCGCCATATTTCTAAAAGTTGTGAAAGTATTCTGGAGCCAGTTTGAAGGAAATGCTTATTCCTTCAAAAGGACCATCATTTCAAGCAGTTCTTAAAATGCCAGAATCAAGACGTAACATGCTGAACAAATGTACACTTATTAATGGGGCTACACCTATAATTCGGACTCTTTCCTTCCAAATTTGTGCATCAATTTTTTTAGCAATCCCTCAAAAGAGAATAACGGTGTTAAAAAATAAACATTTGAAAAAGTGCGTTGTCATTTCATACCCTTGAGTATGTAAACTTGTAAGCTCTGCAGTGGAAATAAAATTACCCGAGCTGCAAACATGAAACGCTTTCTTCTCACAGCTGTGCACAAGATAGGTGACCAATGTGTTACAACCTACCAAAGCAAACACAGCGAGTCCACAATGTGTAAGAGGAGCTGTGTTTACAAAGCCATTAGCAAGTATTTGAGCCAGAGAAGCCATTTAGTGTTGCATGCTGGCATGGAGTATTTACCCTGACAATGCTTAAAGACTGACTGGTTACACAGGCAGGGGAGGAAACGTCAATATTTTGAGAAGGCCGAGGGCTGCCGGTAGCCGTTTCCCCACATTCAGACCACTTCCAACCGCTCTGCAAAGTGGACGGCCCACCAAACAGAATCCACGGCACCGCTGCGGCAAGAGAGGACAGAGCAGTTTGGGAAAATATACTTCAGTTCATTGTTTCACACAGAAAAACTCAGTGGCAGTGGAAAAGAATAGAACCCAACATACTGTAATAGAAAAATGATAAGAGTCCATACAAAACTAAACTAAATGATTGGAAGAAAAAAAATAATTGAGCAGTAGAAAGGCCTTTTGTTGTCAGTTTCCACATTAGACCTCATACTTTTCAGCTTCATTTGCTGTGCAGTGAAATGGCTGCGATTTCAGACTTCGGGACACGTAAATGACGGCCTATTTTACAGGCAGAAATGTAACACGCCAACTCAGTGACCCCATCAGCCAGGTTGTCCAGGCATTCAGTGAAATGATATCAGACACGGCAGGAGGAGGAAACGGCTGCCGGTTAATAGCCAGGCGGAAAATTCACTATTGCCTCAGCTCAGGCCTACAGTAACGCCAGGCTGAAGGTTTCACAGGTTACAAGAATTACAGCGAAGATCAGATGTGGAGCACGGTCATGTACTAAAGAAGTTTTGGGTTGGCAGGTATGTAGCACCATCTGCTGTTCAGAGGCTAACAAACGACTCAATCCAACATTATTCTGAGCAGTAGTAAGGCCATGTCCACACCTTCACCCCATCATGTGATTCCATTTGACCTTTCTTCCCCGCTGAGACAAAAACATGCACAAGCTGAATAAACAACTGTGCACTTGTCAGTAAGGCAAACTGTGCACTGAACCTGAAAGGGGCCCGCAGATCAAAAACATGGAAGGAAATGAGTTTGACCTCGACTTTGTCAGCTTCTCCCAGTGGAGAAACCAGTTAGTCCTTTCCAGGTTAATGATGTGAAAACTTCATGTTTTCTTTTATCACTTTTTCTAGGGTATGTTGTACTGATACACAGCTCTCAAAGAAAAGACAACTGAAATTGATGAGTTTCTTTGATTGTACTTTTTTTTTACAAGTATCTGTTTGGGAATAGACATTGTTCATATATTATATACTGACATGTCTCTGAAATCCCAAGCAAAACTTTTGTATTTACTTGCAGAAATAACAAAAAAGATGCAGCTCTTTCAGACCTCAAATAATGCAAAAAAATAAGATTCATTTAGTAACAATACTAAGGTTTTAACTAGGAAAGAGTTCAGATATCAATATTTGGTGGAATAACCAAATGGGGTTCAGTGCAGTGGTTTTCCAGAGCTGTATAATGAGCAGAACTAACATGGAATAACAGTCCATTCAGCCTCTACGCCTACATTTTGGGAGACTCATTACTACAGGAAAAATAATTTAAAAGTAGAACAATAGAAAACCAATAGACAATACAGATGCTGCTGATTCTGTGTAAATGAATCGACTAAAAGAGGCACAATGTAGCAGTGTGGACTCCAGTGAGCTCGTTCACTCTGAGGAGGAAAAACAAGTTTCAGACAGGTGAGCCTGATTTAAAGATTGAGGCAGTGGATTCTGCTCAAGCTGGAAGTGGGGAAGTCTTTAAATCTGAACGTGGTTTAGAATGAAAGACAAATGCAGAAAGCCATGAAAGAAAACAGGAAACTGCTGTAAGATGAGTCAAAGTGGCAACAAGTCCTCATCCTGAAACACTCATGGATGAGTTTAACATCTTGAAAAGAAGTCATGCTGTTTTCTTCTGAAAAATCAAGATTAGTGCCATTAAAAAAAAAAAAAAAAAAAACATTCATCTTTCACAATTTGAAAAAAAACTTTTAATTTTGATTCGTAGTTAATTTTGCAATATTTCCAATACATTTGCATGTACAGATATGACTGAGCTTTACTCAACTTTACTTTCAGACCTGAAACTATTCCAAACAACGTTAAAACAAATGCCAACCAAGCTCGGAACGGTTCCAGGTTCGAAAATAAAACAAAAATCACTCTTTGTGGACAAAATGGCAATTACAACATGGTGTCCAAATAAGTTTAATGCCGTCAAAAGTTGTTTAGAAAAGATAAAAAGGCTATTTACAGGGGGGTCAGCCGCACTGCGTGACAGCACAGCACTTTTATATCTGCAGGTCCACGTGCTGAAAATCCTAAAAATTATTTTTTTGCAGTCAGATGTGTGCACCAACACCTCGACATTTAATACATCAAAAGACGGCAAGAAAAAAAATAAGCAAAGACAAAAAAAAAAATACACACAAAAATAAAAACATTTCCACAGCACACATACTTTGGGTGGCAGCATGAAGCAGACAAAAGACACCAGGTACAATCAGTCAGCATGTTACTGGTCATTAACCACCTCTCAGTCTACTAGCAGAAGGGATTCCAGCATTCAAAGAGCAATATAAAAAGCACTTATTTGTAGGAAAAATCCAACAAACAAGACTTTATATATCATTAAGTAATGATTAAATTATAATTGCACCATAGTAAAGTTTAATATAATCAGGAATAGCAGAAATGTTCTGCAGCTGTCAGATGCAGTTTCCTCTTCACTGATTTGACAGGCAACAGTTTGAGTGTTTAGGGAAAAGAAAATCTCTGCAGCACCTTAAGGTCTTCTCCGTCTAGAAGAAGAACAACATTAATAAAACTGATTTTGACCTTAAATGATAAACCAGACATACAATCGACACATTGTTTTGCTTACTTTTGATTCCCATGGCTTGCACTGACGTTTGCCACTGGAGGCTTTAACAGAAAAAAAAAAAAAAACAGAGTTATTCTAACAATATGCAAAGAACAGCATTATGTACTAAATATGTACAAAAACAAAAGTCAGTAAGCTCAAACATTTATTTGAGCTTACCCTGTTTTCAATGTCATCTGTTTGAGTCGGTCCCTCTCTGGAGCCGGATCGCCTTTTGCGACTAAAGTTAAATAAAACACAAAGTGTCTCTATTAGTAACTTGGACAAAGCAAAACTCAACAGTTTCCAAATACTGTTCTATTCTGGAACAATTAGGTGGATGTTGAACATGTCTCCATGTCCCACATCATAAAGACATGTTAAACATAAATGCAGCCACTAAAACCGGCACAGCGTTTGGTCAAAGACTTTACCTCGGTGCTGTCGGGTCTTCTTGCTTTAGCGTCTCGATATCAGTGAACTCCACTGCTTGTCCTCCACCTCTGGTCTTAAAAACATTACCCTGTTTGTGTAAAATGGAAAAAAAAAAAAAAAAAAAGAATCAATATGAGTACCAGTCAGTCGGAAAAAGTAGTAAGACAGCCCGATTATTAATCAAATCAAGACTCCGATGAGGAAGGTTTCACCAGATGTGAATAGGTTGAATTGTCAAATCCATGCACAAAAATGTCAAGTTAAGCAAATCAAGTAGTTTTACCTTTATCAATTTGGTCTCGAGCTCCCCGTCAGAGGCAAGCTCTTGGTGTCTAAGCACATATTTGTGGCATTTAGACAGAGCTTTCTCGTTCGGGGTCGACACCTTGATCGCATTGGGTATGATTGGCTGCATTACAGTGTCTAGATCCAAATTAGAGGCCGGTTTGTGGTCTACCCATTTCTCCCCACCCGCAGAGTGTGAGCGCCTGTGCATTGGGTGAACCGGAGGAACCGTCTGGTGATCCCAAAGTGAGAAACAAAAATCAGTTATTTACATGTGGTCCATTTTAAAAAGGTGTGCAGTGGTCAGCAGGAAGCTCGATCATGAAAGGGGGTCAACTTCTTGTGAAAAGAACAGTATTGCTGGAAGTAGAATAAGGCGTCAGTAGATGGATTTTGTTGCATTTGGGTGAAAATCATTCCAATTGCATTTCCAGAAAAGACGAATCAGCAATACCTTCCTCTAATCACAGGACATTTCCCCAAGAGTGAGATTCAGCATGCAAAGATCAGTAAACTACAGGCTGGTTAGCATGCAAAGGAACAAGCCAAAATTATTTATTCCACGAGCAAATGACTCAGAATTTTGCATGCGTTGCAAGAGATTCATGATGTGGTGCAAAGCAATTTTTCAACAATTACTCTGTGCACTGAAGAGACAACTTTCGGAAAAGTGCGTGTCAGATTACAAATGGTGCGAAACTGAGCACATCATACTAAAAAAACCCACAAAAACCAGGGAGGGGTTTGAAGTGGCCTAGTCAAAGACTACCCTTAAATATTTTTCAAATGCTGTGGAATTATTTTAACCAGGCTTTTCAAATCTGAATGAATTAAATGATTCAGCAGTCACTGCCAACTCTTGCAAATGCTGTATTGGAGAGACAAGCTGCTCTGGACAGATTTAGTCCTTAACAAAATTTTAATTTAAAAACTACATTTCCTATATATCCAAGTTATTGTTTTAAAATATGTTTGATGATAAACAACAAGTGTGACAAAAAGGAAATAAATCGACTTTCCCAGGACTGTAACGGTCATGTTACTCAAAATTCAACCTCGACAAAATCTCTGGTTCGAAGTGTTGATGCTTTGCTTCTGGATGTGATCACTACACAGTCTGGTCTGAAAACATCACGCAAATGTTGCCGTTTATTTTAAAAACCCTGTAGTGTTATCTATTTGGACTAAACTTTTTACAGAAAATTCTGAGCGAAAGCAGACATGTCATTTTATTGATAGTATTATCAACCATCTTTGCCATCACTCAGGTGGGACTGAACAATCTCGAGCTGCACAACACTAGAAGTCATCCAATCCAACAGTCTAAATATATTATTTGCATGCAAAGTGTTAATTCATGATACCTGAAATGTAATATCCAAGACTGTATTTTTCAGCTTCCATCCAAAATCTTTACTTTTCCAAATTCCTTAACAGAGTTAAAGCTGAAGCTACAGAGGTTATCATCTACACTCCATTTTTGAATTATCCGTTTTACAAAAATGATAAGAATGTATGTTGTACACTTGCAAGGAGCTCTGGTGATGCTGCTATTGCTACTTACCAGAAAGATGTTTGTTTTATTAAATACACATTCTCAAGTCAAGAGTGCAACATTAAAAAGGAAACTACTCTGGGATGCAGCATGCGGGAACAGCAAAGTAGCTAGCAGTCGTAAAGGGAAAGACGACGCAAATAAAAGCTTCAAAGATCTACTTCTCTAAGAGCAGAAAGCAGGAATTGAAGTCTACTCCAATGTTTCTACTAAACAAGCACACTCCACGGTAGCTGCTTTACACCAAGACAAAGCCGACACTACAGGCTTGAAGCGAAGAGTTGAACACTTTTTCAGGACGGCTACTAACACACTAACCCTTGTTCCTGCCTCTTTGTTTAGCTCATAGACAGAAGCTACATGAGGGGCCTCAGTCTCTGGGGCCCAGCGCTGGCCTCTCCTGCGACCCACGCTGCTGGCGCCATGGCATGGGGTGGGAGTCCTGCTGCCAAACTGGGGCGTTCCCGGTTGTCTAGACTGGCTGCCTGAGTCTAAAGGGAACCTCTGCTCCCAATCTGAAATGCAGGAGGCAACCGAGGGAAAGGAGGACGAGGAGGAAGAGGAGGATGAGGAGGGACTGGAGGTGGGGACGGGGTCCTGAACTCCCCTAACATTGGCTCGGTTTTGGCTGAGAGGCGTTTGGCCTAAATCCTGCAAAGTCGGGGAATGAGGCAAGGTGTGGTGAGTGTTATGAATTAAAGGAAAGCAGAAATACACAATCGACAAAACAGAAACAGCTGGTGTGGACAGCAGCATATCCCAGTTAACTGGATCACAATAATTATTAGTGGCATGCAAAATCTCCACATTGTGTCACATTAATAGAGATTAGTGGAGTCCCACTGGTGGAACAGGCTGCCGTGTGAAGTAATGGACTCACAGAGAGAGGTGTAGGAGAAGCTGAGCGCTTCTGAGCAACGTTTCTATCCCTCTCTCTGGAGGGTCTCTCAGGCTTCCGCGGCGGCTCTGCGGGACCGCCGCTGGCGCCGCCGTTCTCCGTCACGATGGCTTTTAACTGCTTCAGCTTCTCGTCCTTCACCCACAACTTGTTCTGCAGCTCCAGCTGCTTGGCGTTCACTCGCCTCTCCTAAAAAGAAAAAAAAAAACATATCGGGACATGATTAATTATCATTTTCAAGAAGCACTTCATACCCGTCTAACCATTAAATCTTAGATTGGCGGTAAGTCAGAGTGAATCAATAACCGTAAGTTTCAATACTGATGAGGAAATCATACTCAAATCGCCCAACCTCGTAACTGGAGATGCGTCAATCAATAGCCTGAAACCCACACTTTCTACTGAACTGGATTTAATCAGCAATTAAGCTTATCAACATTAAGACATTTCACAGTTATCAGTCTAAAGGTCAGGGATCTGCTTTAATGCCTGCAAAAACATCCTTTTTTATTTCTTGCCATCTACTTATGTTGAGTATCTAATGGTCGCAAGTAAGGGAAAAGACAGATTGACTTTTTTATAATCATTGACTGAAAACGTAGTGGTACTGAAATAATTGGTGAAATGTCACTTTGAGAAAACTATTCTACCAGATTTCGACCGTTTTTAATACCGTGTAGTTTTTCTTAACCCGTTAAACAGAGTTTGCTCTTTTCTCTGAATGTCGACAAACAAAACGTCACAATTGTTGAAAACACCGCCGTTCTCACACAAGCTAGACCCTGTTTTACAGCGCCATCAACTTATGATAGCATTGCCATAGCAACAGCAATCTCACAATGAAAGTTTAGAAAGTTTAACCTTTAAAGTTTCCCCTCATTCTGTGGAAATAAATACCCTGTTCCAATGAAATTAATCTGCTTTCATTTAAGTAACTTTTTTGTTCTTTTTTTAAAGTGAACTAGTAACATCTAAATTTTTAAGCTTTTCAAAATGGAAAAAAAAAATGTTTTTATCTTTATACAGAAATACAAAAAAAAAAAAACCCAATTTCAATAGTTTGGCAGATATACTCATAAGTATATCCATGTTGTCCATGTGCGTCCATGTTGTTCTACTTACACACTCCCTCTCCCATTTGAGCTTGGTGTCGGTCACCATGCCCTGCATCCGCTGCTCCATGCGCCTCCTTTCTGCCAACTCCTTCTGCAGCCTCTGCTCTCTGCTCTCCAGCTCCTGCTGAAGGGAGCGTTTGTCCTGCTCGTACATCTCCGTCGTTTTCTGCAGGATGTCAATCTGCAGAGGAGAATCGGGAGTGAGGACAAAGTCGACCTCGCTTACAAATGTCAAATCACTTCAACAAAATGTAGAAAGCTGAAGACCTTGTATTCTAAAGTCTTGGATTTTTTTTCCAGTCGTTCAATCTCCGTCCTTTGGTTTGCAATGACTTTGTCTTTCTCCCCCAGTTTGCTTTGCTGATCATGCAGTACATTTTCCTTAGAACTGAACTGACTCTCAAACTGCTGAAACGTGGATTTCATACTATTTGCTGGGAAAAAAAAAGATTCATATAATTCATCTTGACATTTCCTGCTTAGATTTTTTGTGTAGTTATTTATGGCCAAAAACACTTTTATAACAATCAGTCGGTTCAGAATAAAAATCCTACCAGTCTGGTTGAACTGTTCGGCCATCTTCTGACGGATACGGTACCGTCTTTCCAGAACCTCCATCAGACGGGGCAACGTCTGATCATCAGACGGATCTGAGAGCTCGCAGGGAGGCAGTGGAGGGAGGCTTTCAATGAGCTGGTTCAGCTGAACTGGATCTTTACAGGACATGGCATTAAATCATGAGAAAGAGTTTTACTGTTTGTCTTATAAGGAGTAAGATGGTCTAAAACAACAACACGGTCCACATGATTTTAAGTAATAAGGCTTTAATCTGCAGAGAAGTACAAATTTGAGGTGTGGTTTACCTCCATTAACTGGACCTCCTCTTTCTTCCAGTCGGCGTGACAGCTCGTCTTTGAAAGCCTGGTTCCTCTGCCTGCGTCCCGGTGTCAGGCCACAGATCGGACGGTCCACCGGCCGAGCCACCTCCACTTCCTGGGTCATCTCAGCAAAGCGCATTACCAGCTGCAGCGCACACAGTGCAACAATTATGTGAAACTGAACTGCAAGGTTGCAAATGGAGGCCAAATTAAATCCAAAAATGTTTTAAAAATAGCAATATTAACTTGTGTATGCTACCTAGGCAACTAACATTTTGCCAAATACAGAAAAGACCCCAAAGTTAAGCAGGAGTTGTACAAAACGGAGACAGTTACCAAGGTTTCTTCATAATCCTCAGCTTTGGGATTAACACAGACAACCATCCTGACTTTTCCTTCTCCATCAAAGTAGTTTTTAAACAAATGTGTGACTTTAGAGTCTCGGTAGGGCACCATCTGAAGAAAACATGAAGGGTATGAGAGAGTGAATAAGAAAATTAAAGAAAGTTGAAACAATAAAGGTTGCAGAGCAAGGTCGCGAACCAGAAACAGAGAAGGAAATGGTTCAATGTTGAGATACAAACCCTATTAGTTCCCCACATCTGGTTTTCACGCAGGACCTCCATACATGTCCGCAGGGTCATCAAGGATTGGTTAATATTACCTGTAAATTATACGTAGGGAAAAAAAAACAAAAAACAACAACATCTCTGAATCTTTGAATTGTGAAAATGTTTGAGAAATGTAAAAAAAATTCATTTATTTATTTCAAACATTCAAAAGTAAAAGCAAGAAAAAAAAAAGGAAAATTAAAAACTTATGCCCAATTGACATGCAATTTTATATTGTCTGTTCAAAAAGGTGCAGGTAGAAGACAACATCTCATCAGGTCCAAACCCTTTCATACTAATCAACTTATAAACAATTAAATTTCCAAAACACCAGATAAACTTAAATCATTTCCACTTTACATGACATTTAAATCCCACATTCTCATCTTTATATGTACAATTACTTAAACATTTTTTATATCATCAACAGCACAACCCTCTCTGTCACAAAACATTTTTGTATATTGTGTGGAAGTTCTATTTTTACGATTGGAAACGAGCTGAATCAATTTAAACAGACCTGCTTCTCGAAGGCGACTTCCCTCTGCTCTGGTTCTGTTGGTGCGTTCGCTGCCCGCCAGGTCAACCAGGCACAGCTGGCTCACATTCACCTGGCTTTTGTCCTGTTTGAGCAGCAAAGACTGTATAAGTTCTACTTTTTACAGTTTAAGAAAAATAGAAGTTATCCTTTAGGATCTGACATCATCAAGTCTTAAATTAACGTCCTCACTTGTGTAAGAAATGCACATTACAGGTAAGTAACTGCTCTCCTGCTTAATAGTGTGTTCTTTTAATTGTAAAGCTTTTTCTCAATATACGTTTTTAAGTATAAGAAATTAAAATAGACAACGTTAGCAGCCAGTCACCTGCAGCACATGGTCCCCATCAGCATCTAGAGGTGCCTGGGCCAGCTTCACTGTGAACACACTGTGGGAGCGACTGGACTCTCGGTTGAGCTCAGTATTCGCTATCCGTCTCTTCTTTTGTCCTGAACAAATAAAAAACAGAAATACAGAGTTGCAATATGAATCATTAAAAAGTCTATTCACTTTGGCAAGAAGAATTTAAACATTAAAAAGAAACAGTGATGTTTTAAATGCTTCAATTTGCTACAAACTAGTCTATTTCTGAGGAAAGGAAAATGTATAAAATTACTGATGCAGAAAACCTTCACTGACCTTTCCAGAAGACTTCAAAAGCCTCTTCTGTGGATTTGACTTCAACTTCTGTGCAGCCGGCCACATACATATTATGATTCTGATCTTCACGCAGAATCTTTGACTGAGGTGGCCTGAAACGTTGTGGTAAATAAACGACAAAAAGAAAAACAATGTGTTATAATAATCCTCTGCTTTCATAAAACAAGCTGCAAAACTGAATACCAAACATTTTATGGGGTGTTAGAACAAAAGATCTATGGAGACAAATTCATTCACAGGGAACAAGCACGCCAGGTATGCACAGCAGCATCCAAGCCATTCAGAGGCATCTTCTGTGTCCTCATCAGTAATAATGAGGAGCAAAGATAACAAGACAACAGCCACAGACATCTCACAGAGCTAGTAGGGAGTCATCGCTGTTAAGATCAGGCAATGAGTTAAAGGGATGGAAACAGACTAACAACATATGCAACCAATCAGCTACAGCCAGGGTTCCTGTAAGAACAAATAGTAATGGGGGTTGGAAGGGAGCAACTAAAGAGCTAATCTGCATTACTGGCCCACATACACAAACTCTTTGTTCCGTACTGGTGTGTTTCCATCGAGCCACCTATCGAAAGCGGGGATGGGTCATTTGTCAAATTTAGATTTTATAGGTTTATTTAAAAAAAAAAACAACAATAACTCATCTGTAAAGAAGAAAAACATCAACTGAGTTTAAACACTCTTACTTTGGTCTGATTGGATCAAACGGAGCATCTTCAAGGAGGTCATAGATATAGTTGTTGTAGATCTCAATGTAGGACACGAATACGCTGTAGCAGCAGTCTTCGTCGACGCCCTCAAATTTACACGCTTGGTCTGGGTTGATCATATCCGCAAACTCCGGATCCGCCCGCTGCCTACACACGATTTATTCAAAAATAAAAAGAAAAGCTTAATAAGCCAGAAACTATAATGCCGAAAAATGAGGATAGTATTCCAGAACAAACTCAGATACCTGGAAGACGGCGTTTTGGGAACCGACAGCTGACTGTCTCTCTTCTGTCTCTCGAGCAGAGAGTCAACATAGCTCTGAACCTCGATTCCATTTTTCTCATCAGGTTTAAACACCTAAAGTGACACTTGCATGTCAATAAATCTGCCTCAAACGTTTTGAGAGATCAAACATATTAAACCATATTTATCTTACAAATCTTTTGGCCTGAAAAGACCCGATGCTGTTGAAGAGCATGTCTAGAGAACGAGGAAGGAGTCCACCTTCTCCAGGCGAGCCAGTCATAGTGTACGTTTTACCACTTCCTGTCACGCCGTATGTAAACAGCAAACCTGCCAACATAGTCACACATTTCATAAACAAGAATGTTGGCCAAGTCAAATCAAAACAAAAATCACATCTGCTGTTAACTTAATCTTGAGCAGGAGAAAATATAATTACCAAGCAGAAAACTATAAAAACTCTATTTTAGAATGCTTAAGAAATACACTCAACTCACTTTTTGGGCAATTGTAATCTACCTTTTTTATATATACTACAGCTGAATGACCGGATTTATAACAGAAGTGTTTTGTCCCTTATAGGAAAAATATTACTGGCTCAAATGTTGACAAAGAGCAAACATTTGACTTTATACATAACTGAATGACTGTTATCTGTTAAAAAATGCTACGAAGTCCCAGTTCACCTACCGTTTTTACAGTGAATGAGGTCCTCAATGAGTGGCTTGGCGACATCTTCAAACAGCTCAATTTGAGTTGTTTTAATACCAAACACCTTCTTAAAGCAGTACTGTGTCTATAGGAGAGACAAATTGAAAATCAAAGTAATCTAATAATCACTCAGAAAATAACCCCGTTACATTTGTTACAGTGGAGAGAGTTGCTGATGTTTGGTCATATAACTCATTAGCTGTGCACACTTTTTTTTCCCGTGTGTTTATTTAGCCCTGGGTGGTGTGGCACTAGAAAAGCATTCAGTCATAAAATTACTGAAATGTCAGAAAATAAACCTAATTTTATCACAATATTCTGTCCTATACCATTGACTTTAGCGCGTCTTTATATGTCATCTTTTTTTTTTTCCATTAATGTATAGAACTTGAAAAATCAGACAGCCCTTTCAAATGTGATATTGCACTCCTTGTCACAGTGACTGTAATTTCACGTCTATGTCAAATTAAGCCATTTTTGGTCAAATAATGACAAGTGTTAGATAATTTACTTCATACGTAACATACATACCTCCTTGTATTCGCCATTGCGGTTTGCCTTCAGTCCATCAGGAGCATGAAGCTGAATGGTGGAGCTGCTGATCATCTCAACACAGCATTCCTCATCTTCTCCACCAAGTGGACGTATGCGGCAATAAACCTGGAATAAATACATTTAAAAAAACAATATATACTATTTATATATATTCTATGTTACCTTAATGAAATTCGAAATATTCCAATATACATTACATATCACTATTTTTAAAACAATCAACTACTAAGGTAAAATGTAGAGAACAATTCCCAATGTCAAATATAAATCGCAATCATCTGAATGTGTAGCTAAAAGAATACATGTGTTTTCTGGTAGTTCAGCTCTTTTTGGAAAAATACACTATGTAAATATATGTTTATTTGTCACACACACTAATAACTATACATTGTATTTTTGAAGACGAATATATTTTATGATTATTAAGAATGCTTTATGCCACATAAACTGTTACAGTGTTGGTAAAATGCCATAAATCAGAATTTTGAATACATTAATGTCGATTTATTTGACTTTAGGTGCAACTCTTCTAAAGATGAAGATTTTGATACATGATCAGCAACTTAAGAAAAGCTGGAACAGAAAACCAGCAGCCAGTTGGTAAAGCGGCGCTTTGTTTCAACTCTGCTCCGTGTAATCACCCAGTTTTCAGCTGAACGTCACATACCCCCACTGGATCTTTCTCTATGTTGCTTGGCTTTTTGGGCCGTCGAGGAGTCCTCCATTTCCTGCGACAAAGTAACCCAGTTAACATCAAACAAAAGCTCCTGCAATCCATTGCATTCATGTGGACCATCGAACAGATACAGAAACACATTTCAGGGAGTCCTAAGAGAGATATATGACTGAATCACAGCTAACTTTTTGTCATTCTGACCGTAAGCGCGTGTGCAGCCTGCTATCGATAAACACAAATATGACGTTAAATTTACGCTCGCCAGCTGAGCATAGCTTACAATATCTTTGTTCAAAACAGTGTTAAACATCAGACTGTTAGAGAATGGGTCCTGGGCCCACAGAAGAAGGTTGGCAGTTTACCAACCGTAATTGTAGCTAACGACTTGTAGCTAATCCCTCATTTACCATAAGCAGGTAAGACATTTTCTGGGGGAAAAAAAATCCTAAACTTAAAATAAGCTCCAAATGTAATTCTAACTCTGGTCATAATTTATGAGAACATGTTCTATTCTTCAAAAAAGTATGTGTAATACTGACCCAGCTCGCTGCATTGTTTGTATGATGAAATTCCTCTCAGCTGCTGAGAAGCGCCTCTTGTTCACGATTTGAAATGTTCCCTCTTATGAAACGTTTTTCCGGTGGTCGTGGACGTCGACCAATCAGACGCAGAGCACAGGCGGAAGTCCCGCCCCCGCCTAAAAAAACCGTTTACAGTGCTTTTTGTTGAGTATCAGGTAGACTTGAGTGATTAAACGCGATGAAAAACAACTTTCACGGGCTTTTTTTTTCTTTTTGTCTATCAAAAAGCTACAAAATCTTTATGCGGAGCATAAAGTTTCAATAAGAATTTTTATTTACAAATGTACAATGTTGCTTAGTTATTTTTGCTTAATTTTCTCATAATTTACTACCAAGAAATCAAATTTACTTCCAATAAAATGTTTAATAAATAATTAAAATAAAGTAAAAAATAATCATTGCTTTGCAAATTGTTAATAATTTTTAATCACAATTGATTATTCTTTTCATTTTCCAATGAAAGCAGGTACAGCTGCAGTGATATGGAATAAGTCTTAAGTCTATATTTTCTCTCATGCAAAGATATATATCTTTCTATATTCTTTGACAATGTGGCACATTTTAGAAAACTAAATGCTGCCCTGTTGGTAAGGTTGGGCAAAGTATTATGAGAAGAGTGATCAAGCATTTTGGCACTTGGTTTCTGTGGGTTATCTTACAGGTATTAAACTATTGGTGACGGATGAATGGACAAGACAGCAATGCAAAAACAAAACAAAATTTACACTTGGTTTTATTTGGAAAAATTATAAATAGATTTGAACTTAAATACCTTCTTTTTACATATTTTACAAAACAAGGCAAAAAAAAAAAAAAGAACTATGTTAGCAGCGACTTGCAAGTAGACAGAAACATGAATCTTATGACAAAATCCCTGGTCAATATAACACCTTGAGTAATTTGTGAAGCCATCTCTATGTCGATCGTAACAAACCCTTCAAAAGTGCCCTCTAAAAGATCTGAGAGTTATGAACGTGAAAACTGAAAGTGACAATATCAGCCTGCAAATTCAAAATTAAAAAGTGAATTTTGAACTTGACATCATTTTTGTTCCCTGTGGTCTCTTCATTCACCACATGTATGACACTCAGAGAAGAGTAAAAAAAAAAAAAAGACGTACAAACATACAAAACACCAATGCATAATACAGCAAACCAGCTGCTCTGTAAAAGAATAAGTTTCATTAGAAACACCTACATTTATGAAAACGTTCATTGCATCTAAGAGTATTGTGAAACCCGTCCCCAGATTTTCAGCTCAGCTCTTGAATACTTTAACAGCAGCTATCACAGCTGAATGCTTGTATACTGTTTCTTTTCACGCACCTATAAAAACCCGGGTTAAGATATTTAGTAGCAGGAGCAGAGTCTGGGTGCCGCTTTCGTTTTATTTTTCCCCTGTTTGCTTTTCTGCCACGCCGGGCCAGAAAGGAGAGGTAGACTGAAGAGGCAGATGAGGATCAAATTCACCGCCACGCAAAGCAGTGCCGGACCCAGGGAGTTGGCAAACGAGACGGGCATGGAGTGAGCAGCGAGCCAGGCGCGCCGCGTCACCATGTCCCGCTCGACGGCCAGCATTTGGAAGTGGGTGCCCAGGATGCCGCACACGTGGAAGAGCTGGTGGCTGTGACCTGCAGGGGAAGCAGTCGAGTCACGCTTGAGTCAAAGCTTCTCACCTTCACCGCACAGCAAATGATTCACTGGCTGTCCAGCAGTGGTTGTGCATTAACGCTTCCTCACAATGTTTAACACAAAAACGTACGGGAAGAAAGAGAAAAATGTGTGAATGTTTCACAATCAAATCAAACTGGTACACTGACTCATTAACGTTTTCCCTTCTGAAGCTCCTGTATACCCAGGATTGTTTCATGCAGCTGTGATTAACACGTGTGCAGCATCCATCTTTATCCTTTGTCAGAAATATTGTAATTTACTTGATTTTTTTTTTTTATGTTAGTGCATTTTCTTGACAGTTATGAGTCCATTAAGTTTGTTCAAACTGTATTATCTTTGCTCAACCAATTGTTCATTTTTGAGACACTGTCACAATTATGAACGATTATAAACACGGGTCATCTAAACACTGCACAAGTATTTGTTTGAAACATACAAATATTGTATCAATGCTGGTGTCTTGCATGATTTGTACTTTATTTCTTTGTTTGGTCGGTTGTTCATTAAGCTTCAATCAACTTGCACAACAACAGATTTACCTGCGGTGACCTGACCTGAATGATGAGAGCCCGGAAACAACGACTGCGCCTCAGAGGAGGACTCTCACCTATGAAGTCGAAGCTGCCGGGAGCCAGGCGCTCAGGTAAGCGGGTGGCAAACAGGAAGCCAGTGAGGACAGCCAAGGCGATGTGTTTGCAGTGGAGGATGTTGGTGTCGTCGTCAGTGCAGCCGTCCCCCGTGCACAGAAACACCTGGGAACACGACGCAAACGTGACCTCAGCGAAAAACAGGAAACCGTCAAGCATGCTGAGCATGCGAACGTCTCTTGATGAGGCTTAAACTGAAGCACTGCTCAGATGTAAGTCATAAATACACGCCTGCCATTCGAGCCTCTGAATGAAAAGTCCAAAATAAAAGAAAGATTCCACCTCAAAAGAAGAGTGAGGAAGGTTTCCATCTATTTTGTAACAGACTACTAGTCTTATGTTGTGTAAACCTACCTGCATTTGTACATTTCTCGCCCTATTAAACACAAAATGTCTAAATCAAATCAAGCTTTGTTAGAGCATACAGTGTCCTACTGCACAAGGTGAGCCGAGTGCAAAGAGGCAGGTGTACAGTGTAAATAGGATCTAAGCAGTCGTACCCTGTAGAAGAGAGGAATGTTGTCAAACAGGTACGGGTAGCCGAAGGCAAGGATGCGAAAGAATTTGCTGAAACTGGGACTCCCAGGTAATCTGGAAAAAGGTAAAAATGTACATATTTTTAAATGACTGCACAGTAAAAACACACAGACTAACAATTCATCATGGTCAAATAGCCCTGATGAGGATCCATTTAGAGTCTGGTTGACATCTGTAATGTATAACAGACGGAAACCGGGTTACGCATTGCTTTTCTTACAGCAGGGTGATTGTTACTCAACACAGTCAGCTGCTCTTTGTTTGACTTAGCCATGTGAAACTACACGGATCAGATTAGGGCTGGTCCCTATAATCACTGCCAACCAACACCCATAGCACATTGCTCAATAGTTCCTCCAAATATGCAACAAGTGTCTGTCGTGGCTGGCGCATGACAAATCGCCAGAAGAGTCTAGAAGGCGGCTGCATTTTGGTTTTCCGACTCTTCTTGAGACACAGTGTGAAAATGTTGTGGAAGATGATAAAGGCAGAAAAAAAAAGTTTTTATTTTCCTGTTTGCAGTCTCTTTACCTTTTCACAAAGTCACAATTATATTGCAGGAACGGAAAGCCAAGCCTGAGTGAGAGAGAGATGAAATGAAAGGTTAGGAATTAGCTGACGATGACATAAAAGTGTCAGTAAGACGATCTTCACTTGGCTCAAGAACAAAACTCCACTCTACATACTTCTACTAGAAGTAGTACCGGAACGTTTCCTTGTCATACCTGGAGTAGCAGGCCAGGACGGTGCAGATGAGAGTGTTGGCCATGGCGATGGGGATGTACCACTGATGAAAGGAGCTGTTCACCCACTTGTCGGGGAAAGCGTAAAATGAATAAACGACGGCAGTCCCTGCAGCAACGCACATCAACCGCTCAAAGTTATTTAAAATCAGGAAAATAGATCTTTGTCAATGAAAAATAACACTCTAACAAAATAAATGCTTCCACATTGAGAGCAAATGCAAAATGTTCTGATATTTTGCAACCACATTGTGCAATTCAAAGCAAATATTGGTGTTAAGCACATTTCGAAAGGGTAGCTAGATTGTCTGAGGACACTGACACAAGCTACTAAACGTTCACGACTCTGGGTTAGAGAGGATGCGCTCACCCAGGCTGTAGAAGCTGAGCGCGCCGTAGTCGAAGAAGAAGCAGATGTGGCGCGCCCGCGGCGACATGGTGCTGAAGGTGTGGGCACAGCTGGACGCCAACGGATAAATGCAGCAGGAGAGGAGGAAGACCATCAGAGGCCAGGTGAAGGAGTCCTGCCATCCCTGCTGCATCAGCACCACCGTCACCAGTTTCCACAGAAAGTACCTGCCCAAAGAGAAGAAGAAGAAGAAAACTTTTTTTTTTATTTTCTGCCTGATAGAAAGAAAAAAGCTTTGGTAATAGCCAGAGTCAATTGCAGTGATTATCCACAACACAAAAGTAGCAAGAATGATTTTTCTGCAGAGGCTGAAGAGTGAAAAATGCCATAACTGCATCAACAGCTGAAAGAACCATTTTGTACGTATAAGAGTGTAAACTGAAAATTATTTTCACAATGTTGAGAATTAAAAAGTGTGTCCTTCAAAGTGTTCTGATCTGTATTGTTAAAAAAAAATCTTACCTTGGCACTGCTTAATGTAAATTTTCTCCTTATTGTCACTGTCTACGCCCCATGAGTGTATTTCTCTCAGAAATACACAGAAATGCTACTAAATTGCCCTCTAATTTAGATGAGAGCCAAGAGACACAAATATGTTAAATAACAATTTCAGGTTTTTGTTTATTTTTTGTAAGGCCTGTCAAAGCGATGTACAAACTTAACGGAGAAGAAGAAGATCTGAAATGAACCCCGAAACACAAGACTTCCCGAATAAAACCTTCAAGAGAAAAAAATACAACATCTCATACGATCAAACAACAGTGTCAGGAAAAGTCACATTTATTATTTTGCGTCAGAGGAGGAAACAAAGGGGCACATCAACACTTAGTGTCTCACATTTTGCATGTTGGACTCCAAATTCATTGAGTTCAGCAGAAACAGACTTCGTCCGTCCAGACTACAGCACCGACGTGGGGAAACTTTTCATTTAGTACTACAATATATTATTTGTTCACTTCTGTTTGCACAGGCGTTAAATAACACTTTTATAGCAGGTGAGTCATAAACGTTCACGAGAGCTGGTCATATTAGAAAGAAAACAGCACAATTATTCAACAATAAGTAGACGCCGCTCCTTCAGAAAACACAATCTCTGTATGCAATCATGAATTATTATCCCTCAAATAAACCCGTTTGTTTTTTTTCCCCCCAGGACCAGTCAGTTACCTAACAGCTAAGAGCGCTACACAAACAACCTGATCTGATCAGCTGTAGTGTGCGTTGTGTGTTGCCGTCAGTGTTTTCCTGTCACTGAGCAGTTAGCTAATTGTGGCAATACGCATGAAAGCCCAAAGCGCAGGCCTGCTCATTAGTGCCAGGCCTTTAGGTCCACCTGTCCCCCTTGACACAAGCACTCGTGTGTATTCCAAACAGACCCACACACACAGGTTTGATGAACGCACTCCCCCCTTGCCTATTGGACAGTGCAGCCAAAACAGCCGACGTCTCGTTTGGGAGGAAGTGAAGCGAGGCCATGAGGGGCACTGATCTCAGCAGCCACTTTAACATATTCACACAAACACACACACACACACTGGGTTTTTGGGGGTAAAACAAACATAGGATAGTTTTGCTAAACAGTTTCAAAATGAGGCGATTTCCCCTTTCAAAGATCTGATCAGATTTCCTATTAACTACTGAAGACATGCTTGTGATTCCACAGCGGAGGAATGTCGAGGTGAAATCCTCGTATTTCCCAGGATGAATGAAGGAAGACAAGGTGATGAAAACACACAACGCATGTGTCTGGTTAATTGAAATTAAAATTCCACCCGAATAGGGTCACTGACCCTTTACCTGCTCCCTGTCAGGTGTGGCTGAAAAACACATCACTGATGTAACACTGGTGGCGTTGTTTTGCCGTCTTGCCTCAGTGATGACATAAAATGCTTCCGTTCTGCTCACGCACATTTGTTGGGTTTCCATGTTTTCCGTTCTTCTGTTCAGAACCCAAGTGGCAAATCTGGCAAGATCTGGAGTCCGTTTGGAAATATTTGTCTAAGTTCGGTTTGCACTGGAAATACTCCTGCCCGTTATTTAAGCCATAAATATTTGCTGACTGCTCGTCCCGGCAAGAAGAACGTTTCTGTTCTTTCTCCCTTTTCGCTTCTTCTATGTTTCTGTTTGTGGGAATCATGAGTCTTGGGATTCAGGTCGCAATGGCCACATAACGTTTTTAAATGTAGTTGTAAAATCCACTTATGTAACAGTTCATTTACGGCTGGGCATGTTCAGGAATCTAAAGAATCTATGAGTGCTTACTGCCTGGTTCTGTCGCATTTCTTTCTCTCTCTCTCTTTTTAAGAAGATCTCTTTCTTCTTGGGTGGGAGGGCTTTTGTTGTTGGAACTACATTTCATGATGAAATGCTAGATTGGCTTTCGGCGACAACCGTTCTGTTGAAAAATGTGATTTGACGCACATCAGACGAACTGATGTTTTCTCAAGGAGACAATCTAAAGATTCTCTCCTCTCCCCGCGTCGTTGACAAGCCGTCATTGTTTGGCGCTATGGATAACTCCCATTATGTCTCTTCATCTTGTCAGATGAACCTAATCTACTCCATGCTTATGAAAAAAAAACTCAACAGGCAAATCAATTTAACAATGAATAACATGGTTGCTGGGATGGATGGGGACTTGAAAACAAAACCTGTCAGCACAGTCACTCTGTCTCAAGTCACGCAGGTGAAAGACTGGGAAAACTATATGCCTGTGGAAATCTAATCTAATCCCGGCCTTGTTTACCTGGATAGTAAACAAGATTTCACTAGAAGATGAAAATGGAATCGTGAGAATCTAACAATGTTCCTGTGGTTCAAGAAAAAAAGCTCATATTATGTAAGAAACATCTGGAAAAGTCTTTGTCCTGCAGGTTTTGCAGGATGTGTGTGACTCCCTTCTCGTGACGTGGGCACACGTTTCTTGGGTGTTTTGTATTGTTATGTAATAGCTTCACCTCTTCAATTCAGGTACGTGGTATCCGGTCAAATCGAGGTCACTGACACAAACATTTAGCAGAATAACAGAAGCTTAATCGAAGGGTGAAATCAGAGAAAGTTTCCCTGCTTTGAGGGGGAGCATGTTACCTTTTAGAAAGCTGAATGCAAATTCTGTCAGGTGCCTCGTTTTGTTTTTATTTTAGCACACATAGCACAAAAAAAAAACAAAAAAACAACCAAACTAAAATGCTTCAACCTTGTCAGCTTACCAGGTGGGTAGAAAGTGGGTCCAGATGTTGAGCGTCTCATTGGTCATCTGGAAGACGCTGAGGATGCAGTCAGTGGCGGAGCTCCTGGGGTGGCGGTACCCAGAAATGATGCTGTCCTCATGGTAAACCTCCAAACAGACAAAAATAAAACAGCAACAACATTGTTTTTGGCTTTCACTTTTAAGCAAAATCTGAGAAACTTGTTCCTTCACTTCTGTTGTGCGGGCAAAGCAAAATGGATTTCCATGTGAGACGGAGAAACTGTTACCCCAGGAAACGTTTAGTGTAGGAGGTACAAATGAGTCGGGAGGCAAAGATTTATTGGCAATAAAGTCGAGTCAAAGTGAAGACGTTCCTTCTGAACTGCTGGACGACAACATGAAAGTAAAGTTCGGAGCAAGTTAAGAACAGGAATCTTTAAAAAGTTATTCTTTAACACATAAATCTTCTTCACTCCCAATGAATGAAAGTTCTCCTCGTTCCTTCGCCACCCCTGCCTCTGACTCAGGTCAGTCAAAAGAGGTCAAATCAGTTCATCTTTCTTTTTTTTTTTTTGTCAATGTGCAGTAAAGACGGACTTACTTTGGGCACCTGATCGATGCTGAAGACTCGTGGAAATTTGATGAGATTGAGCATGACTGCGGGACGCCGGCGCCGTGAGAGGGGAGAGCTGAACTGAGGCCACGGGCGGGGCGTGCCTTTATTAAGGTGTGTGTTGTCATGCCGCCTGCAGGGTTCCTCCCCTTCCGACTGCTTCCTCTTCAAACCCGGCAGGAATATCCAGTGCAGTGAGCCGCTCCTCCTTCGTGTCTCTGCGGAGGCCGCGTACGCACAACAGGTGTACGCTCACAAACAAGTGTTTCCCCACAAGAAGAGGGACAAATATTCACCTGATTCTCATTGGCTTTTGCAGGAGGAGGGACGTTTTGAGGACCAGCTGCTAACATTTTATAACTATGACACAAATGCTAGCTCTTCTTCTAAATGCAAAATCTTGACCCTGCAAAACAATGGAGCTGACATCTTAAAATTTCACCCAGTGACAAAGAAACAATGCCACTGGAGTAAATAATTTCGCCCACTTTCTGCAAAAAAAGAAAAAAAAGCAAGAGAAAGAATCTGGATGTCACCTGAGTTTTGGGTGGGTTCAGACCAGGCAAGGCTGGCGAATGAAGGGTGTGAATCAGTCTGTCAGCACAGCAAACAGAGCTTTTCTGCGTGACGTCTGATCTCAGTGCAGGGATGGGCCAGAGGATCTTATCTTGTTCAAACTTCGCAGCGATGAAGACAAACAAGATGCCAGTATTAGGAAGTGAGACGCGCTGTTGTTTGCTCCAACTGGAAATAAATATGTTGCTGGTGACAGCAGCTCACCCCCAGTAATGGTCGCTCTGCCAGGCTCAGTTCAAACACGAGAGTGAGATAATGCTTCGTTTCAAAGCATTAAATCAAATAAAACTCACAGGATTCAGAAGCTTCTGTGTTTAATTACACTTAATCAAGGAAACTCTTAAATTTATAGTTTAAGAACAGTCCAATCCCTGAGTAATGCATTTTTTTTGTCTTAGAACCACCCTCAATGATCCATCCTGTGGAAAATCCCAGTGAACTGATGAGACGCTTCAGTGCAGCAACACAACGTTAAAGTAAAGACAGGCAGTCAACAGCCAATACTTGTGTGCGTGCGTGTGTGTGTGCGTGTGTGTGTGTGTGTGTGTGTGCGTGTGTGTGTGTGTGTGTGTGTGTCTCAGTGTGAGTGACTGAGAGCCGAGTTGCACTGGCACAGATTCAGTTTCTACTGCTGTGATCTGTGTTAATGAGTACTTCTTTCAAATTTACCCTTCAAACAATGTCAAGCACCAGAGCAATAACCTGGGAAAACACGATCGTCCGTTGAAAGAATGTTGCCGTCGAGGACCTGAGACTTTGTTTAGGTTTTCATTTTTATTTTCTAGACTAAACAAATGTATTAAGCGATCCTTATTTTCTTTATCTACTTCCAAACTCTTGTAATCTTTCAAAGACTTTCCAAAGGTTTGAACTGGATACTTCCTCTGAATTCGTTTAAACTACTATTCTTAGTTCCAGGTGTTGTTTTAGACCATGACAGCAAAATGTGCATAATTTGCTGAACACCTTAATCCTTACATTTATCAAAAAGAAAAATCTGTTACATTTGAAACCAGAAGTTTAGACACACCAAGTAAAAAGACTGGTAGGCTACATCTTTTTTTGTCATTGTCTGATTTGATGCTGCAGTATGTATCTTCTGTAAACAATATAATGTGTTTGTTTTTCTACATATTTGTTAAAAATATCACTATGTTGTGACAGCATTGTATAAGGCAAATAATCTGACAAAATCAAGCGACTCTGCCTCGTCCCTTTGGTCCTACTGCCATCTGCAGAAACACACTGAAACAACCAATCAGAGCCAGGAGGACGCGCTTAGCAATGGCTTGAAGACGTTGTGATTTTTAAATTTTTTCATAATGTTTCTAAACATTGTGAAAACTGAAACTCTGGAAAGCTGAGTGCGTAAAGTGGCACTTTCAACAATCTGACGGCTGAGTAACAAAAATAAAACAATGGCTAAAAACAATAAATATCTGATCAGTCTACTTAATCAATAATTCAGTAGTAAAAGGGGTTTATGAATTGAAAATGTTCATTTTGCCATTGATGTCTTTATTTTTTATTCAAATTTGCTAAATATAAACAGATTATGAGCAAGAACTTGTTTCTGAACTCACGTGTTAATTTAACAGTTTAGGTGAAAAAAAAAAAAAACGGTTATAAATGATAAATGGTTATTTTGTAGATTAAACATCATTCATTTCGATTAATCCCAGACCTTGGAATCGATTTGATTAAAAAAATTTGATCAAAACCCCAGAGTCCTCACTTATCCTCAGTATAAGTGAGGATACATAAGATGCTAAAAGTTCATTGTTGTTTTCCCGAGACGCTGAACTCTTGTTTTGTTTTGTTTTTTACATGCAGTATCCAGTCCTGCCACTAGATGTCAGTGTTCTCTCAGGGAAGCTTCCCAGTCAGCAGCTGCTGGCAGGTTCCTGCAGATCTCAGGAAACAGTTTCACATGTGTATCACTGGGTTTGACTGACAGACATTTAACTCTCCATATGTAGGCGATTTGTTTCTAATCTATGTTATTTGCAGTTTTCTCCCTCCTCTGTTCTGTGAACTCTCCTTTCGGTGAAAAAAATACAGTGCATTGAAAGAAAAATAATTGGCAAACAAAAAACTAACAACCCAAAAAATTTGCCAGGTAAGCTGTTTTGCGTTTTTAATGGTGTGTGCGTGTGTTTGTGTGTGTGTGTGTGTGTGTGTGTGTGTGTGTGTGTGTGTGTGTGTGTGTGTGTGTGTGTGTGTGGTGGGGCTTTTAAATGTTTGTGTAACATCAGCACAATGTAGAAGCGTTTCACATTAAGTATTTATTGAGGTGTTGCAGATGTTGTTTTCTGTGCAGAGGTTTTGTTTTGCTGCACAAATGACCACTTAGGATGCTGCAACACCCCCATGCATGCATTTTACATGTAGGTGTGTGTGTGTGTGTGTGTGTGTGTGTGTGTGTGTGTGTGTGTGTGTGTGTGTGTGTGTGTGTGTGTGTGTGTGTGTGCGTGTGTGTGTGCGTGTGGTGTGTGTGTGTGTGCCTTCCACACACAGACTTATGATTTTATGCAGAATCTTTCTGAGCAGAGTAGTTCGCTTTTCGAGGCAAGAAAACGCGCTGGAATGGTGTTGGAAGGAAAATCTTCACACTGTAGCAAAGCAAACGTATTAACATCTGAAAAAAGAGAATATGTTTACTTTCTAGCAAACACACATTCAAAATTTAGAAACGCTTAAAAAGGAACAGCAATTCATCTTTGATATTTATGAACTATTGATGAATTGAAATAATACAGAAAAGAAGTATGGAAAACAGAAGAGTATAATTGCAAAATGCATAAAAATAAAAGTATTTAACATAAATTGAATAGAAATCAGGTTCCCGATTAATCACAAGAGACTATGTGACAATGATGACACAGAAAATAATAAAAAACTCTTTTGCAAACCCTGAAATATGAGATGCTAGATGATGCCGTCTCTCATCCCAGTGACGACCCGCCGACTTGCATGTGTGTTTGTGGGGCCAGCCAGGCCGCCCTGCTGCAGCTGCTCAAAGCCTTTGTGGCTCCCTGGTGTTTTAGATGATGAGGTGTAGTTGGTGTCTTCAGATGAGGAGCAAGTGTGGTAGTCGCCCCCCTGATACATTATTAATAGTTGCTAGACTCCAGGCACTGCTGCTTTTTCCTCCTCTGAATTTCAGTCTTTCACGGCTCCTTCTTTTTCAACCCCTGCTCTCATTTGCAAACACCTCCGCCACAGACTTGCTTTGTCTCCCGTACCGCTCTGTTTTATGTTTTTCTTTTCTTCTTCTCCCTCCCCCCCATGTTTACTCGAACCCCTACTGCTGCTCAGTCTCCTCATTGTTTTCCTGCAGCACCATCATCATCATACCTGGTTTTGTGATTAGGGTGACTGGTGAAGACTTTCTCTCCTTCCCGTGCTGTAAAATGTGCCAGCTGCTGCTCATAAATGAACAAAAAAACCCTGCTGTGGAAAACTGGAACAATAAATCACTGACACCGTCTTTAATTTTAGTGCAGAGATTGTTTCGCCGTCTCTGGCGTTCATTCAGAGGGAAGAATGAGGCCCGCTTGAATGTGACAGGTGTGTCTGCTCAACAGCACAAAGGAAGACAGAATGAGCAGGAAGAAAAAAACCTTTAACGTTTGTACGATTGCTGTCCTGTTGGACCACTAATGTTCACCATTCCACCATTTTCATTGACAGCAAAATGACTCCTCTCCACGATGCTGCCACCACCGTCTTTCTGATAGTTATGACCAAAGAACTCAATCTTTATTTTCTATAGGAAGGACTTCAGCTTGTTCACTTGAGCAGCGCTTCTGTCTGATGGGGACTGAGAAACGTGGTGTAAATGTACCTTTAATACTGTTACACGGCTAATGTGACATTCATGCCTGTGAACTCATGACTGGCACTGATACATCCAGTACCACGTCTAAAAGCTGCATTAGCAAGTCAGGTTGTCTGTAAATGTCACAAAAACAAAAACATTTTAATCCCTTGCAGAAGGGCAAATCATTTTATTTTGTTTAATAAAAATATAGCAAAAATCACACAAAATATTTGAGAAAGCTCGACTATAGCAGCCCACATGTACTAGTCCATATTTTGAACACGGATGAGATTCTGATGCTCTGTCATAAAATAAAACATTAAACTTCTATCAGACCAGAGTCACTCTTTGGACTTTGTATTCGTGCAGATATTTTACTTCTAATAACTCGATTACTAGCACTATTTAATGGCAATATTCGGAATTGATAATTGAGTGAAATATGTTTTCACAGGTTTTCCTGTCACAGTTGTGAACTCTGTGACGTTCTCGATGAAGGAGGACGTTTAGTGAATATGGCTTTTAGTGATGCAGAAACTCCCTGAACTTCTATGGTCCTTTAAACCCACTCGTTAAGCTTCAGTTCGTTAGGGTCGATCAGTTCGGACTCGTTCCGTCTCCAATCCTCCGTGGCAAAAATGGTATTTTTCCTTATCACTTCTGCACTCCAGTGATGCGAAAAGTAATGTGATCCCCCAAAATAACATCCCCAATGACTGCTCTCAATTAATATTTTTGTATTTAATCCCGTTAATGCTTCCAGCCTAAAGTCCTGCTGGAAACTTTGATCTCCAAGGCTTTTTAAACAGTTTAGGTATGAATTAAAATCTTCATTTGAACGCAGACTTACTGAAATTTTCTGTTTTTATGCAACGATTTATTTGACAATAAGAAACATGTAGATATTCAAAAACTTATGATGCAGCCTAGTGACACATTTTACATGTTTACATGGATGAGTTGCTTAAGATTTACAGTGACCATCTTGGGCTTAAGGTTAAACGCTCCACACACAGTATGAGAGCGCCCTCAAGTGGTCAAATTATTGCTGAGCGGATGGAGAAGAGAAGTCCAACTCTCACCAGCAACATACAGGAACATACAAGTTATGGCTGACACGGTGAGGGAACCTTCAGTATGTTTTTCTTTTCTTCTTCTCCAGAGCGTCCAGAAGCATGACATTAGGTAGCGTTGTCAACATGTCACCAAATCTATGGCAGCCTGCGTCTGCATATGTTCATAAGCCATCAAAAGGTGAATGAGCACGAGGGTGACGGCGGTAAAAGAGAGTTTTAGACAATGGCGAGGGAACAAATATGATCATCAGAGTTCAGCAGCTTGATGCTTTCCACACCCTCTGACACTCAATGGGCTTCAACAACCTGCATTTTTTGGCAAGTTTGACATTTATAAGAAAGATAAAAGTGTTTATACACAAGACCGAGGTTGTACTGTCGCCTCGGTGCAGCTATCTGAAAGGCATCTGAGCGGAGTCAGAGGAAGCCGAGCTTATCAGGGATAATTACAGAACCCAGAGAGACGCCCGTTGTCAGGAAAGGCAGTTACATCATTAAGAAAATTCGAGGAATGTGGTGTGTGTGTGTGTGTGTGGGTGTGTGTGTGTGTGTGTGTGTGTGTGTGTGTGTGTGTGTGTGTGTGTGTGTGTGTGTGTGTGTGTGTGTGGGTGTGTGGGTGTGTGTGTGTGTGTGTGTGCGTGTGTGTGTGTGTGTGTGTGTGTGTGGCAAAAGAAATTATTGCTGGATGGTAATAATGCCAGAAGGTAATGGAAAAAACAAAAAACAAACCCAAGCTTGTGGCAGCAGATAGAGTCCTTCTCAGATGTCCATGCCCTTCACTGGATCAGAATAGCCTAATTAGGATAAATTATTTATCAGGATGTCTTTTCTCCTCAGCAGTTTTTGCAAAGAGAGCGTTCACTGCAAATAAAGCATCTGCCTGCCTCCCAGTCAGAGCTGCTCAGCGATGGGTGGGAACATTTGTCACCAAAACTAATTCTAAAGTGAATCAGTCTAAGCAGATTCATGAAGCAGCAGCTGCCAGTTGAAAGGTTAGAGAGATTTTCTGTGAGTTGTTCGTATCTGGGGAGTCTTCATCATGACTGACTGACTGACTGACTGAGGCTGGCAGATATTATAGCTCTTTGCCCGTAATGGCAGGAAATATTTTTGGAAGTGTCGTCGTAAGGATTTCAAAACAAAGGAGACTGGACCGATTGTCAACTTCACTTCACTTCAAATCAAGAGCTGAAAATTGTCTGGGACAAAGGCGATCCGAAACGAACAAAAACTGGATCTGGGGTGGAGAAATGACTTTCATGAAAGACACATTTTTGTAAAACGACGACAAAAAAGTGGTTACGCTTAAAAGTCAGGAAAGTCACCAATATAGCTAAACCGTCAAATCCGAAGAATAAAAGCCATAACTGAGAAAAATGCTGTCTAATTCATTTGGACAAAAATGAACATCAGCTAGCGTGAGAGTACCTAAACAAAAGCCGAAGGTCTGGCAGTTTTGTCCTGGAAATAAAAATACTGGTCATTTATTTAATCCATCTCTAGGGTTTAAGAGCAACATGCGTCTGCTTTGATGTGATTTCCTGAGCCAGAAACGTCAACAGAAAACAGAGACATATTCTGCAGACAAAATGAATGAGGATGTCAAATAAACCGATTTAAATCTCGAACAGGAGTTCAGAGTGCCAAATGAAATATCAGCTAATGCGTAAACTCTCAAGACCGCAGAGGAGATGAAGTCTCGAATCAAATATTTCCGAACAGAGTAAACCCAGCTGTGTGTGTGTGTGTGAGAGAGAGAGTGTGTGTGATGAGCAGGAAGTCTAAATATTTGAAGGAGCTGCGATTAAAGATCAGACAAAGTGACTCCATCAGAACAGAGACCTGAATGATAAAGCAAATGAAAACATAAGACATTAATCCAGTCAAAACTCTCATATTCAGTTTCCTTCAATGATGCAAATAGTGTGAGCTGACACAATGTGTATCGTACGGCTAAAGCAACATGTTTATATGCACTAACTACATTTAGAAAAAAAAACAATCCTCACTGTTTAACGTTAAATCATTAAACGTTTCCTGTTTTGTGTTGGTCGTGGAAGTATTTCTTTTTGCTAAATGTCAGATTAATGAAAGTAAAGATGGTTTTTGGGTATTTACTCTAAAGACTCAACTTTTTTTTTTTTTTTTTTTTTTACATTTCTTTTGCATTTGGTAGAATTGCATTTTGAACGGCGTGACTTCGGGGGGACAAACATTTCTGGGATCTTTCCACAAGTTATCTCACAAGCGTTTGGTGGAATTTGGTTCGTTTCACCTGACAGAACTGGTCAGCACTTTGCTCACGCACGTCTCTTTAGCTCAGACAACAAATGTCCTGTTGGACTGCGATCTGTGATGGCCTCTTAAACATTGACCTTTGGCTGCTTGATCACCCACCAGTGACCGAGCTTCAACTTCCTGGCGGATCTCTCGATGAGCTGCTCCAGCATTTCCACCTAATGTTCTTCATGATATAATCTGTGTTGTGGAGTGAGCCAGTCCCTCCTGGGTCATGAATCCTCAGAAAACCACGCTGCCATGTCACACTTCACTACTGAGATGGTGTTCTCAGGGTTGTAAGACTTCTTCTTTGGTCTTTATGGTCAAAGAGTTCATTTTTAAGTTCAATCAGAAAATAGGACATGTCCTAAAATTAAGCTCTTGGCTTCTTCCTCTCTGAGTGGACTTTCAGGCTTACCTGCTCCAGGCAGCATTTTCAGTGTATCGCTTTTACTTTATAGTGCTTTATGCAAAAACACGTTCATCTCAGCGGCGTAGGACTAGTCTCCTCTCTGAAGACATTCACGTGGTGTTCAAAATGAAAGCTAATCTTTCAGTCAGCTGGAAATTGCATGTTTGGATGAATCTGACTTGTGGAGACCCGACATTCTCTTCCTACCTAATTTCTGTTTTCCATGTGAGAGGAAGCAGCTGATTTAAGGTGTTGTCTTGAGATACAGTCACAGGTGTGTCTCTGATTAATCTATTTTCTGCTTACAAAGCTGACGCCTGCATCTGGACTTTATAAAATTGTTTAAATGCATGTTAATGTTATGCAGCCTCCCCCCGTAACTTACTAAACAAATCCTTTCATTCTGGCGTTAAGCAAATAGAAATCATTTCGTTAATCCTGCCTGTCTGATCTAAACTAAGAATAGCTCAGTCTGATTTATCAGTGAGAAAAAACTTGTACAGCGTATGTGAACTTCTGCTTTCAGCTTTAATGAAGTGGTGAAATACTCCATGCTTTTAATTCCCAGCAAAAATCCCAGGAATATCGATTTTATTTATCCATATTTTAGAGCAAATGAAGCTGAAATCTGTCTTAAAGTATTAGAAACAGTTTCTAAACTTGCTGCTGAACGAAGAACTGACACAAAAAACCTCAATAGTGACAACAGATGAGTTCCAGTCAGAGATACGGAGAAACACAGAAGTTTAAGAAAAATGATTTTATTAATAACTTTTTGTTTTGTTTTACACTTTTAGAAAGCAACATCTTAAAGCACAAAGATTTACTCTGTATATAAACACCTCTTACTTGGACTAAAAAAAATGGGAGCATTTGCACATTGTGCTTAGATTGCAAACTCTATACAACCACTCTGGGTCTGTGGTGGAGTCACCAGTCCCAGTAAACATCTTATTGCATAAATCACACTGACCTCAAAAGGCCGCTTTGTTGAAGAATTCTGTTAAATCAGAGATTCTACTGAAGTGAGAAGAAAACAAGCTCTCATACCCAATTTTACACAGTGAACAACAATAGCAGCTCAGTGAAGCTGTTGCACATGATCCTAAAACAAGAAAACTCAAGAGGAAATGCAACAAATCAGATGACGAAAACCTGCAGTTGTGCTTAACCGACAATCCTGGAAAAGAGGACGCTTGCAGCTCTCGGTTCGTTTCCCTCTCAATCAGCAGCAGACTAAACTAACCACGGGCTGCACAAATCTCCTTTTTCATATAAGCAAGCTTAACATGAGTTGGTCTTTTTTTATTATTATTCATTTTTCTTTTGCTATAATCTACCCATTCTACACCTAAAATCAAAAAGGCAGTGTTTCTCCATAAAGTGTCTGTGGAGACCTAACGCCAAATGCTCAATGGAAGTCAGTTTGCACAAATATATACAAATAAACTTACCCACTAAGTGGCTTTGGTATAAACAACATAGAAACTTGTATCAAAACACAAAACGTCCAGTTGTCAATGTTCCTTTTTCGAAGACGTACTTTTGCTCATGTGCTCAATTTGGTGAGGAGCAAAATAGAGAAAATATGATTCATATGCTTCTTGGTTTTTAAGGAAAGTAAATTGTGTAATAAAGACGAAACACAGAGCGAGTAAAAGGTTCCATTTCCAGGATAAACCCAACAGAATGAGATGTCTCAGCTTTAAAAGGATTAACTCAATCCAACACTGCTTCAAAATAAATCACAGGGTCCTTCGATTTTGTCCGCTTAGCGCGCATTAAAACTTGAAAGCTGACTGTGTGGGAATACGATCTGATCTCCGATTACACAATTTTTCTAAATGAAAATCCCCACCCGCTCCCCCAGAAAGGATGAATCACCCCGAATCTCCTGGTGTTAATCTATAAAGCGGATCGATCAGAGCTCCATTGATGCCGAGGAGGAGCTCCACTTTGTTTGGAGAGGGCGCTGACTCATCCGCAGCCAGCGAGTTGGAACCGCGCGCGGCCTCTCCACCCTATTAGCCGGGTGAGTTGTGAGCGTCCTCCGCGCGGCTCGGATTAAAAACGGTTCGGTTCACGCTCTCAGAGGAGGTGAGAGGGAGCAACAGGAGTCTGCAGGGACCGGCAGCGTCCGTGTTTTGAGAATTTACCTCCAGCCGCTGCTGGCATTGTCTGGATCTAAACGCTTTGAACCGACGTGACAGCTGCGGCGCCGCTGCCCACATGCGACACCACCCACACTCGTTTCTGGGAATAATCAGGGCTAGAGTGCGACAGAAGAAAGGCGTTTAAGATGGAAACGTTCACAAAGAAAATGAGCAAGAGTGGTTTAATTGTTTGACAGTTAAATTAGGAGTGATCTAGTGGATTATTTTGTTGTTGTGTAACACGGCAAACAAAAGCCTTGATAAGTGAGGCGACAACTATTTCCAGCTGCAGTCGTGTTGCCAACACGTCTTTAAGAAAGGTGAACATGTTGGCTTCAATCTGTTCTTTTCCTGAGTCACAAACTTAACGCTCCACGTTTGTAGGTTCCCCTAGTTATAAAAAACAAAACAACCTAAACTAAATCCATTCTTTATTGCAATACCAATACCAGAGGAAGAAAAATCTAACTCTTTTCATGTGCACTTTTGGCGTCCAATAAATGTGGAGGAAGCTGCTAATTTTTCCTTCTCCTGATTTGTGATTAGCTGCAATCACCTTGGCTCTCATGCCGGTTCAGAAAAGGTCTCACAGTCGACATGTTAACTTTCCCAGGTGAACCCAAAGAGAAACAGAGGTTTTGCTTTTGCCTGGCCTGGTTTGCTTTTTTAGTGTCCAGTTAAAAACAGAGCAAAGCAGCTAAGAGGAGTTTGTTGATAGCAGCAGTGTTCACAACCGTTAAAGATTAAAGCTTGATGGGTTTATCTCATCTGCTACCTCCATTACTTATCCTTCAGAGCTGACTTCAAACAGCTTATTAGACGTCTATTGAATATTTTTGGACGAATTAACAGATGAAAAAACTGAGAAAGAAGAAGAAAAACAGATATTCCTTCACTGTCGTTATTACATCTGCAAAATGTAACAAATTATCAATGAGAGAAATATAAACTGGAGAAATGTAAACTGTTAAACTATCTTTTGATAATATTAACTTCTCTTGGCAACATTTAAAACGCCCTCCGATTTTCACAGCTTACTTCAGTAAACCTCTGAAATCTGATTTAAAGTAGAAAACGTATAAGAGAAATCTTGATGCATTAAAGAAAGTCAAAAATGTTCCAATGTGTATTTTCTTTTTCTATGTAGTTTTTTTTTTGTTTGTTTTTTTTAAACAAAACACACACAATAGTTCTTCATGAATGCAAACACTCACACGCTGAAGCTCGGTCTGTGTTATTACAAACACTAGCTCCAGGGACACAAACTGAGCTACAGTCAACGTAGCAGAAAATGTCAAACCCGCAACATTGCCCACAAAGTTAAAGTATCGCAACTCGTCTTTCAGGCTATTAACCAGAAGAGACTCACTCACATACACACACGCACACACACACACGTCTCTATAAAATCTTCTGCTTTGCTCTTACAGCCTAAACATTGATTCTTTTCTAAACTCAGTGGTAAAATATGCTGAGTTTGACTAGTTGTGCTTGGCACGAATCCCTTTTAAGTAGTTCTTCCAGCGCTTCACCACATCCCTGAAGATGGGAGCGTTGTCTATGGATGCCAGCAGCTGCAGCTGGTTAATGTGCGTTGTATGATAGTCCCATCGGGCCAGGTTGGGCGCCGTGCCCAGCATGAAATGACGCAGGTCATAGATGCTCCCGGACCCCGTGTCGAAGAGGGGCAGCATGGCCTTGAGGGACTCCATGCCACGGCTGAACAGCTGCCCCGCCTCTCTGCCCAGGATCTCTCCGGCCGTGTCAGCAACGTCGTAAAGTCCCAGCAGAGAGTAGATGAAGCCGTTGAGCACAAACGAGCTGGGCGTGGTGGGGTACTCTTCATACCAGTCGTACTTGTTCATGAACACCGCTTTGACCCCGTGCTGCGCTGAAGGCACCTTGTACGGCCCCACCGCCTTCAGGGCAGCGTTGAGGTAAGCCTGGGTCTTGGTGAGGAGGTAGGCTCTCACCAGGGTGGACATAGCCTGGCCCTGAGCCATAGCCGAGTACCAGCCGGGCTCCAGCGGCCGGAAGCCCTCGCCGAGTTTTCGGGTGACCATGATGGGCCATCCCCCTCGCTCGTCCTGGTTGCGCACCAGCCAGTCGCTGGCGGCGAAGAAGGCGGCCATGTGGGCAGTGGTGGAGATGGTGATGTTGTCAACGAAGCCACGTCCGTGCAGGACTAGCCGCACAACCCGTCTGGGCATGATCTGGGCAGAAACGCAGACAAGATTAGAAAGAATTATCCATACATTTTAAACTTTAATTTTGTGGTTTGTAAAGAATGAAAAATATATTCAAAAACTTTTTTGGGGAAAAAAAAAAAGATTACTGGTACTGTAAAGAATAACCCCTTAAATAAAGTTTCCATAAGTTTTATCCACATGGATTTGGATTTGAACCAACCTTTGTGGCTTTGACGGCCTTCGTGTTCGACAACCCGACTCCCTTCCTGAGGTCGGTCAGCAGGTCTCTGGTCAACGTGCTCCAGGAGGATCGAGGCCCGATGCCGTAGGTGACGTCGCGCTCTTTGAAGGCAATGAGCTGCGTGTTGGTGACGTAGTGGATGGTGAAGGGAGGCCCCTTCTCTGTGGTTTCTAGGACCACCGACACGCTGCCGTTGGAGGAGAACTTTAAGTCCAAGCTGAGGATGAAGTCTTTTGAGTTGCCCAGCTGCAGGGATACGCCCTCTGAGGAGTCTGTGAGGGGGCGGTGGGAAGTAGAGGAGGGAAAACGTGAAAGATGAGTAGAATTAGCTGAGATTTTACAGCGGCGTACTTGATCAAAAGAAAGAAAGAAAAAAAAAAAAGAAAGGCTCCAACCTCACTTGACTTATATAAAATGGCTTCTGATAAATTCTGGATGACCTTTTCCAGCAGGTTGACTAGGAGCCTTTTTATCTGCATCTTTTAATGCACTCTCCTTTCTTGGTTTATTTATGTGAGCTTTCTTCTAGTGCAGAAAATACTTTCCCACTTTCAAATGCTCCAAAAAAAAAAAAATAAAATAAAATAAAAAATTGCAAGCTTTGAAATAATTCAAAACCTTTTTCCTCTTACCAGCAAGCGTCTTGTATTGTTATCAGTCGTGTGAAGTGCCCTGCTGTATGTGTGACAGATAAATGGAAGACATGCAGAGTGCTCACACACCCAGACAAACCTCTCATGGGATGCGCACTGCAGATGTGTCACTGCACACTGAGATTAATTAGGAGTATGTGAGGAAAAAGGGGCCTTGTAGCGACAAGAAGCAGATGAAAACATTGGGTAGAAAGTGATGCGGTGCTGCAACTTTTTTCATCTGCTTTCCCACATTTCTTCCCTGCAAAGCTCAGAGTTAGAAAGTTCAGCTTTTCACCCTTCTCCTCCAGCTCAGCACTGAGAGAGTTGCTTTAATGTCGGTTTAGTTCAGGCAGTTAAGTTGGTGCCAACTTCGCCTCGAGCCCCCAAAGCACCAACTTCTTCAAGAGTCAGCTCTCTCTGTCGGCCAGGCTCCCTTGGTCTTCAAGGAGAAAATGAAAAAAAGATTTTTTTTTTTCTAATCAGGGCTTTCCAGAGGATAAAAGATGAGGGGATATAAGTCAAGGAGAAAAAAAGGGTAATGCAATGATGGGTCGCACAAATGCTCCCAAAGCCAGCTGGAGAGAGTGAAAATGAGGCAACAAGGAGCAGACAATTGGGAATGAGAAGACAGAGAGATCTCACATGACAGGAGCTAGGAAAGCAGAAGCAGATGAGTCCGACTGAGACACAAAGACAGTCGATCAGGGAGAGAATGAGCAGAGAGACAGTCTGGCAGGGGCCTCTGGATAACTACGGCTCTTTAATGCACTCATAAATCCATTACTTAAGGCAAAGCAGAGGGTAAGTGGATTTGTACTCTGGCCCTGTGATTACTCTGCCATCAATAAAGGATGGGCAGGGAATACAGACGAGATTCCACCTCCACCGCTCGGCTCTGCGGCTGTTTAGCAATCAGCCGGGAAACAGAAATGACACGCTGCTGGAAATATATCAGCGCAAACCGAGCTCGGGCAAGAGAGATGAGCGCTTGAAAACATATGCACAGTTAGGACCTGCAGTGCACAACACGGCACAGGAACATGTGACAAATGACGGGGCGACAGCGAAACGCGCGTGTGATTATTCATTCACAATCTCTGCATGTTTTATCCACGCCAGATTTTTCACTGTCGTCAGAGAGCACATCCAAAAAGGATGGGTCTTTGTTGTCTGTTTTGTTTTTTACGTTTCAGTCTGCATGTGATTTAATCCATTATTTCCAAGGAGGTAATTCCGGTTTTCTACAGATAGCAGTCTTAAAACCCTTAGTCATTTAATTTTCTCTCATCTAGGAGTGCACCGATAGCAGTTTTCTAGCTGATAAATGGTCTTTAGTAGCCAAATTCTGCTTTTGGCAGAAACCGATTGGACCTGAAATGTCAGAAAAATATTGTGACAAAACTGCGAAGTTGGGAAAAGAGAGGCGATTATTATTTATTATACACATACAGACATGACCTGGTTGGCAGGTGACTCAGCGTTCTCACAGCAGAGCAAAAGGGGACGGCAGTTGATTTTCAGACCTTTGCAGAGGTAGATGAGATTGGTGGAAAAGATCGGTTTCTTATGGATGATTGCAGATCTCAAAACATTAAGAAAACTCAGGTGGCTGGTTTATTTGTCGCCCAAAGTTTTGTTGTACCCCCGAGTCATAAAGACTATGTTTAATAATACTACACATACATTTTAAATTGGTTGCAATTTGACTGTGACCTTTATAATACCTCTGCCGTTTGCCCTCTGATCACTGGTGGGAGGTACAGTGAATGATTGAGTGTAAGCTGCTATTTTTTTTTTTTTATATAATTAATAAAAAAAACTTGCTTTTTTTTTGGTGGAACTTAAAATAATCTTTGGTGATCTATAGTTATTGATGGACACCTGGTTCTAGACGATAAGCAGCTAAATGTGTGATCTCACCACATGAGGATGCAGAGAACGCGGTACGGTTGGGGATGGGAGCTTAAAAGCAGAAGTGCATAAAAACCACTGCACCACTACTTTCTACCAAAGTTCATTTCCAGACTGACAGGATGGATTATTTACAGCTGCAAGTGCAAACACAGCATGTCTACCTGGAAAGAAGAAACTGCTGTGTTCTTGACTCGTTCTGAGCGCTGCATCACTGAATCCAGCTGGGAGCAAACATCCCACTGTGCCTTCAGCAAACTGGGGGTTCTCTGTCACATAAATGTTTTGTCCTGGATTTGTGGAGCATATCTGAACTTAATTCCAAGCAATAATTGAAGTAATGGGGAACCCACCTCCCATCAGTGAGTGATAGTTACCATAAAAACTCCGGATCCAAGCAGTTGGAGAGACCCTGTTGACCATTTCTTGACCGATCCCCCTCAATTCAGCTAAAGAAGTCAGGCTCTTATCATTTTTTTGTCATGTCAAGTGAAAAAGAAAGGACTGTAGTAATCTAAATCAAACGGAGAGATTTTGTCAGTGGAGCTTTGGATTAAATCCCCTCATGTGTTCCTATTTAGGGCCAAGATCTGGGCCCAGTCACCAGAGATCTTTTTCCATTTTGGCAAATAAACACAAATCTTACTCCGTTTCTCCCCTTTATGGTCTTTATTTTTCCCACAGTGATGCAATGTTTATTGGTAGAGGCAGCTTAGACTATTCCTGTGCTGGATTCAGATTGCCTAATGATGCACAGGGGACTCGTCGCACGCATGTAACCCAGTATTACAGTTTTTGATGTCATCTTCACTGTAAACTGTTCACTCTCCTACAGCGCTGTCAGGAGCTGCGGAAAAGATACTGCCAACAGTTTCTACTGCTGTCGTCTCACATTCAAACATCCACCAAGTGAGGCAGAGGAGGAATGGCCTGTACTGAGAATCACAGGAACATAGAAAAACTTGGTGATGGTCATGCCTAATGGAGTCTTTTTTTTAATCCTGATAAGAACTGGAATATATTCTGAAGGAACATGCAAGAATATAATTGGCATTGGCTTCATGAGATCTGCAAAAGCATGATTAAATACAAGTTTTGCATGATATTTAGTGCTCCAACTGTAAATGGTGTGCAGAAGTAGATTGTTTTAATAACTGTATAGTTTTTGGGACTAATATAGAGTGGCAGGCCTTTTAACTATTACCAGAAACTGCTTCAAAGACCATTTATTGTCAAATTTATCACTGCAAATACACAACACAAACATCACACAAAATTAAGCTCCTACCCCATTTCATTCCCACAAATTAAAATATTTCTAAAATACAACACAAAAGGATTGGGAACTAATGCTTTGAAGGATGCAGCCCCTGAATCAGGACACCTAAAGTATCCATCTTTTCATTTCACAGTAAGCCCAAAACATCATGACTTACTCAAACGCAGACTTTAGTGTACCAATTTAAGACACTTGGCAAAGTACAGCAAGCATTTTAGAGAAAGAGTGACCCATATCCTGTTCTTAAGGCTGAGAAAAAAAAACTTATTTTCTAGACTAAGAAATTGAAAGCTAAATATTTAGGACACGGTAAATCCTAAGTGCTTCAAATGGAAGGCAGCTGAATCTCTTCAGCACTTTAACAAGAAAAATGTGCTTATGTTTCAGATCCTTACTGATTAAGAAATCATGTTCAGAAAAGGCTCTCTTGTTCATTTTATTACAATACTGAATGTTTAATGTATTGTTAAAAAGGCCAGAAAAAAAATCAAATATATACAATATAAATTTATATATAAAACCAGTCAATTTGAAAAATAAATGAGGTTGCCCATTATTATTCCTACATCAACCTTAAAGCTTTACTCATGTAAAATAGGGCAAAACCAACCAATCTCAAGCTCTAAAGCCGATGTCATAAGAACCTAATCTTTTTCCACCCATCCATTTTCTTACACCCTTGTCCCTAGGGAGAGACCAATTAACCAGGCAGTCATGTTTGTGGACTATGGGAGGACGCTGGAGGACCTGGAGGGAACCCATGCATGCACAGGGAGAACATGCAAACTTCATGCAGAATGGACTTTTGGGTCAGGAATCGAACCAGGACTTTCTTACTTCACGGCAACAAGTACGCCACTGTGCAGCCCTTGAACTTTTTATTATGCAAAAACTGTATTCAAGTTAGAACACACAACCGCTCTGATAAGCAGGTTCATTTTAATCATTTTTCTATGTGAGGCTGTATGGTCGAGGAATAAACCTGGGATGATTTCAGACTGTGGGGCTGAAGTGGTGTTGAGTGTGTGCAGCTATACACCACCGAATAACTGGGCCACATTAGCTAAAGCCGTTGGTTGATGAGCAGCACATTTAACCAATCACACTGTTACTCTAAAGACCTGGATGCTGCAGCTGTTTTCTGGGACTTTATTCGGCCTAGAGCAGATTTTCACACATTTCAGAAAGAGGTGAACAGTCAGGCAATATCTGCACAGCACCATGGACACCCAGGCAGAGTAGTCAGACATGTCACACACACACACACATATATATATATGTATATAAAGAATGGGTAAAAGCAGTTTTTCTTGAATACATCTTATCAGGATCGGATTCTGAAGCATCAAGAAACCATACTGGGACTGAGAAAATAAAGGTGCTCAATGGTAGAAAGCCTTCGTGAAGGAATGTGTGGATGGTAGATGGCAGGTTATTATCAGGGGACAGACAATTGATCCACTTGTCAGAGTCTTTGAGAGATTGTTCAACACCCGTGTCCTAGATACAGCGAGGAGGGAAGAAAAAAAGAAAAGAAAAAAAAAAACTCAAATTGGAAAGAGAGGGAGGTGGAAGGACAGAAAGAGAAACTGACAGCAGAGGAAGAAAACAAGAAAGTTTTGACGAGGGAGCAGAAAGGGGCATTAGAACGAATCAGGAAACTATGACGGCAATGTCGAGGAAGCGCAAGAGTGCAGAGGGATGGTAAGTGGGTGGAAATGAGTAAACAGCAGTGGAAGACTGACAGATTTCTGGGGTAGACAGAGAAGATTAATGACGAAAAGAGGAGAAGGAGAGGAAAAGGGGAGGGGAAGTGATGAAAGCATGATGATCTTGAGGAAAGAATGCCATGAGGACGACTTGACCCGAGAGAGAAGAGATGGGACAGGGGGTGCAGAGTGGTGAAATGAAAAGAAAAGTGGTGATGATGAGCAGCTGAAAACTGGAGAATAAGGAGGAGGGAATATAATAGAGACAGCAGCTCAACAGAGAAAGGGAGAGAAGGAGAGAATGTGTGTGTGTGTGTGTCCTGGAAATATCAGCATGAGATAAGAGGAGAATAAAGCCCGCTCACAGTCAGCTCTGGGTAAAAAGATTTCGACTTTCTCCCACTTCCAGAAATAACTCTGTCATCTGTCTCATGGCTTTGGTCCTGATACAGCTGTAAACCTAAGCTACATGCCGAATCTCAATGGTAAATACAAAGTCAAGTCCCATTTATTGATGGCAAACCCACCAAGAGACATTGCATGTCTTCTGTTTGACAGCATAATAACTGAATAGTCTGTGACTGGAGGCAAAATTTCTATTTAGATTTAAACCAAGAGAAGTTAAAAGAAGCTTGAAGGGATTTGCAAATTATGTTAGTCGAACTTTTAGCTTTTAGTCTAAAACGAACAATTAAGAGCACAAAATATTGATATTTCATAATATAATGTTACACTAAAATGGTGTTTCATGAGATGCTCAATAGCTACTGCTTTAAATGATTACCACTGACTAATCAAGATTAATGGATTTGTTTCTAATCTGTAGCATTTTGATAATTAAAATGTGAGGGAGTAAGGGTGTTTTTTTTTAGCTATTACCTATTATCAAAGTAACATGAGACAACCATTGGAAAAAAAAAGATTTCTAAAGTTTTTTTTTTCCAAGAACCTACATTTCTTTTTAAGAAAATATCTGTTACTAAAAAATATTGCGACAATTACTTCAAAAGTGTTCAGCTGAGGTTTTTTATGACGGCTGTGCCAACACAGCTTGGTCACTTCTGATGTGATTCTATTACCGCAGCTTTGAGTGTTGGCCGAAACCGATATTGACCCGATCTGATATCATACATACTTTTATTACTTATTTTGAAGTGTGTATTCTTAGAAAAGGCCTGATCAAGTGATAGTACTCAAAGAACAATAGTCAACAACAATAGACCTGAGAACAATAAAGCCATTTATTATCAACCAATGGATCTACATGGGGGACATACGCGCTGCTGAACAGAAATGCTGGGACGGACTAAATGCTGGAGTTTGATAGGGAAGATTTTAGATGCAGGCCAATGTAATCCGATACTTGTTCTTCGGCTGATATATGAAATCAATATTGGATCAGAATACTGCAAGTTTTTTTGATCAAGTTTGAAAGACAAAGAACCAATAACGAAAGTAACATTACCCAAATCCGCTTAACAATCCTGACATTAAGTGAAAATGTAAAATAACCTCTTTAAAGCAGCAGCAATACTTGGATTACCAACCTGGATTTGTAACTGTGATATTTTGGTGTAAACCTCAATCAGTCTGGTCCAAACTCCTAAAAGCCAAGCTTTTTTTCAGTTTTGAAGTTGCTCTGCATTTTTCCCAGCACAGCTTTGTAAATCAATGTTTGAACGTGAGAGAAGACTGCACACAACAAATGAAAGTAGACTCTGCCAGAGGCTTAGTGCCCAGTGTCCTCAGTTCCACATGAGCCCTGATATGAAGAAAAGCAGCCGAATTAAATTAGATTCCTCAGGGTTGAAACACACTGAAATGGCACCAAGGATGGCGCTACGCCCCAGTCAGTTTTATTACAAGAAATGAAACTTCGCTTCATCTGAAGACCTATTACTGCTGTACTTAAGGAGACACACGGTTATATACTTTTTAATATTCATTGGTCTGGAAGAATTCTTAAAGCTCAAGCAAGAGTAGTCAAAGGGTTTATTTATAACCACTGTCTGCATGAAAGAGGCATTTGGAGCACAAAACCTGGGCTTCATAACAAGAGATGTTGTTTGATGTGAAAAACACCCCAGTATTTTTAAAGACAAAGATGTCAACTGTTTGCCAAAAACTGTTGTGATACAACAGGAGTCAACAACTTAAATTTAGTTTTTTCTATCTACTTAACTGTTATAAACATTAACACAATGCTTTCTATAAGTGCTGAGGGTATATGGATTGGGTATTGGCATGGTATAGGTAGGTTTTCGATCTAGATGAAAATATTAGTGCAACACAGAGCTAAAAAAACATATAGAAAAATCTCAGACATGCATCTTTGGTTTCACATTCCCAGCTGAACCTTCTGAAAGCCCACACAGTCTGTCATTTTATCGGTTCAACTCGTACGATGTGCAAGACAAGAATGATCCGTAAAGGTTCATTCATGGTTTTGTTTGCTTAAGGGCTGAAACAATTCATTGAATTAATCAATTATCCAAATAATTGCCAATTTAGAAAACGATTCATCATTAACTGGCGTATACAGACTCAAAACAGGTAATTGACGATATAGAAGGCATTTAAGATAAAACACCTTTATCTATAAATAGGTTTTCAAGCCAAAACTCCCTAAGTGGCCTAGTTTTAGCTTCACTTGGTTCAGACTTATTGCATTTTACCAATGAAATATTTTATTTAAAAAGAAGTTTAATTTTACATTAATTTTCACCTTTGAATGTATTCCTAATATTGTACGAAAAATAAAAAAAAATCTGTAGAATGTCATTTTTTTAAACGATTAAGTGATTAATCATCAGATAATCAAAAGCTTAATTAATTACTAAAACAATAATCAGTTCCAGTCCTTGTTTACTGTGGAACAACAATCTTAGTGAGCTATAGATTAAGCAAATTTGCTTAACTATTTAAATTTGTATATTGCTAAAATTTTGTGATGATCATACAGATTCATACCTTTCAACAATGTTAAATGTCAAATGCAGCATTGTTTTCATAAGATGGCAGAAATTTACTCATCTCCCCCTGGAGTCTTATTTCCAGCCACTTATATTCATATATTCATGTTCACACTGAACAATGTTAACCAGAGGTATTCCTCTCTGTCCCATCAGGTGGAAATTTCCCACTGATTAAGCAAACAAAGCATGATTAAAGATCCAACGCTGAGCCTACTGATTATTAAATCATTCAAGTTTCTAGGAATGTCATTATGCAGCATGTCTTCTGTCAACCACAACAGGCAGAATCCTCCCACTGTGGCTGTGACTCACTGCAGAGCATCATGCTGTCCTGAGGGTGCAGTCGCATATCGAGCCGGCTGAAGCCACAGTTAAGAGATAAGCAGCTTGCCCCGAGGCCATCTGGACGGATAGGAGGGGAGACGTACCTGCAGCGCTGAACGAACGCACAGAGGTAGATCTGGTCTTGTCATGGACACGACTCAGGCTGCAACCTTTCGGCACACTCCAGGACGCGGTGCTGACCCTGCTGTCCTTCTCCTCGGCTGTGTCGTAGACCTCGACGTGGGGAGCGCGCTCAGTCAGGTTCTTGCTGTAATGGCTCAAACCGTACTGGGCGATCTGGATGGCATAGAAGTAACCCTGAGGGCCCCATTGGGTGGAGAGAGGCACGCCTGAGCGGAAGAGAAAAAGCTAGATTCCAAATATTTCTCAATTTAGATTCAACTTACACAAACAGAGAGAGAAAAAAAAAGAAAAGAAATCTACCCCAATACTATATCGTCAAATTTTGACAACAAAAAGGTCACGTTAAATAGCAAGACAGAAAAAAAAAAGCAATGAAATAACACCAGTGAGAGCAAACTAGCAAAAAATGCTGGGAAATTTTAGCTAATCTGCTGCATTTCACTGCAGGCTGTCCCCAGCAGACAGAAATAGCTCAGGCAGGAGAATTACTGATGAACAGATAGCTCACTTTGAGACCTTGTGACAAGCTGGATGCATGTGCCACAGAAGCCCATCCATTTAAGAAGAGGGTCATAAACTTCAATTTGGGATGGAAATGTTTCACCCCCTTCATGACAAACAGACATTGGTGTTCCTCCTTCAGTTTCCTTTGTGGCACATTTTGAAAGAAACCACATTTCACAAGCATCTCACAATGTTCATGTTTTCATAAAAAAAGAAAAAAAATCACTTCTGGTTTTCAGGTTAATGGTGACAAAAGCTCTTAAACCAATCAAATTAAACTTGGGAACATTCTGTTTAGATGATGCTCGTGCAGATTACAAAAAAACACAAAACCATGACAACAAGCTGCAAATTATATCCAGTTTACAGTAAAAACAGATCATTTTATGGACTATAGGGCGAAACATTAGTGTGAGAGGTTGTGCAGAATCAATTCCAAACTCCAGACCGTCAGCAGCATTTAATAGTAGCAGCAGATGATTACACACCATTTTCTGCTACTCTCTGCGATGTTTTTGTTGCACAACTCCATTTACATTTCCTCCAATCCAAATCACCAATTATGTGCAAGAGAAGGATTTTTTCCCCTCACAATGACACAGACATTTCTATCAGTCTGTTATGTGAGCTGTACCTCATCAGATCAGGTTTTTTTCTTTTTTTTGCAGCACTCAGTTGTCATTCCTAGCTGCTAACTCATCTGTATTTATTATATTATGAGAAAAATTATATAATTATAATTTACCTGAATGCCACATCTATACGTTTTCATTTGTGATCTTGGTTACATGGAGTTAATAGATTTTGAGCTTTCGCTTAGACGCACAAATGCACATCAGGGACCGATGGAACGCAGCTATAGTGAGATTATCTCAAACCTGACTATTTATTTGTGTGATTGATGTTGACAGGAAAGAGCATCAGCACATATGCATGCAGATTCACATCGCACTTAGTTCCATCCCCATGGCAGACTTTCCTCTCTGTCTGTCTTGGCATCTCCCTCAACAACTTAAGTCAAATGGCTGTCAAATCCTAACACAGCAGCATGAAGCTGCACTGAAGAGAAGTAATCTGTGTGAAATTGACTGTTAAAAATGAGCACATATTTTTTGCGACTTTCCTGAAAATCTGAGTACTATTTTTCAGGATACTAATCCAGACATTTTGCAGGTGCGTCTCGATGACTTTGAAAAAATTGTCCAAAAAAAATCTACTTATTTAAGAAAAAAAACAAAAAACAAACAAACAAAAAACAAAACAACGTGATGCACACCAGTTATGCAAAAATGCAGTTTCTCAAAAAATTAAAACACGACAGAGAACAATGAAGCATAAGTAGTCCGTCAGCACCTATATGAGGCATTATGATGAGGACTGCTGACTCAACAGTAGTCCAGAAAATGGCCATCAAATGCTGTATTCAAACACAGTAATAGAAAGTTGAATGGACAAAAAAAGTGTGGAACAAAATGGTGTTCAAGTAGCAGGGATCTTATCTGAGCAATGAATAAAAGCTTAAAGGTTTTTCTCTGTAATCCATATAAAAAATAAATGCTTTTCGTTTTCACATAAAGAGTCTAAAGAAGCCCAGAATCCACTTCTTGTGACATGTGCAGTTTCAGCAGTCTGTGATTATTTGAGGAACCAGGTCAACTAAGCACCACAGCAGAGGCATAGCCCAATTACCTCCATAGCACATCACACTGATGCAATAACTAATGCGAAAGAAGCTCAGATCAAGAATTAAGTGCAATTCTTGTGCAGTCAGTGGCCATACTTTCAGTGACATTTCTAAAGTGACAATCCTTTATTGGGTCTTAAAATGTCACTTTGTCAAGAAAGCGATTGTATCCAAATGACACTTTTGTTATGAGAGATGGTTACCAGGTGAATTTTCTTCATATACACATGCCTTCGTTTTCATGGTTCATCAGTAAACAAGCTATACAGCGTTTCAAAGAGTGATGACAATATAAAATTCTAAAACATTTTTTCTTACACTTACATTTATGTGATATGATTTTTTTTCTAATTGGATGCTTAAGCTTGAAATAACTGTACCATCTGGGAGAATATCCAGTGCCAGATGCTGACTGGTCATTACAACAATTAACATGTCTGGCTGAGGGTCTTGTTAAATAACTTTTCAGTAGGCTGTGATGCACACTGGGAGGAAAATACCCCCATGACCTTCATTAAACCCTGTGGTACCTCTGTGACAAGTTAATTAATAGACTGCTGCTTCCACTTCTGAAATTAAACCAAGTTAAGAAGAAGTGTGTATGTTTGCACATGTGAATGTTGAATAGCAAAGTGGCCTTGGGCAATATTGATAGATCTTTTAAAATGGTCGTATAGAAATGTAAATGTGCCTTATCTATTCCAAATGGTAGAAGTAGAAAACAAGAATCAATGTTGAGCCCGGAGGTTTACTTTAATTATTTTATGACTCATTTCCACAATGTACACACATGTTCACAGCAAGTGCTCTTATTGCAGCACAGGAAGGGTTGTGTAAATTGTCCCTGTGCATCAGACATAAATGTAATATAAATTGTGATGTGCGAGATCTACAGACTAAATTATTGAAGTTCATGTGTTTGTACTTTTTACTGAAAAAGTACAAACACATGACCCAAATATAAGATTTAATGCTATTATATTTAAAGCTAAAACCTTACTTACAGCTGCAGTATGTAACTTTTATAAAAATATTATTTTACATATTTGCTGAAACTGTCACTATGTCGTGACAGTATGGTATGAGACAGATAATCTGTGGGAAAATTTTTTAAATAAATAAAGCTCTTCTGTTTTCTCTTGCTGCTCCCAATATAGCCAGGAGGAGTGTCCTAACGCTGCCAATCATGCCCGCGTGTAAACCTTTGTTGTTGAGTTAGGCACTAAACTGCATTATCTTTGAGCTTCATGAGGTAACTTCCATCTAGCAAAAATATCTGCAGAAGCTAGCTAGTACATCCATATAAGCCAATATGCTGGGAAATATGTTAAAAAAATATAGATGTATGAAGTGAACATTGAAATCGTTTATATGATCAGATTGAACTGATTGTTTTTTCCTGAATCAACTCCACGTATTTATTTTGTAATGTCCAACTCGTATAGCCATTTAATTCAATGCAAATTCAATGCACTTTTAAAGGGGTATACCCCTTTAAACAAAGGGGTATGCATAAATAAAGATTAGTAAGTGCTGCTATGGAACCGCATAAATAGCTAAATAATATTTGGTAATACTTTGTGCTAAGCTAACAGCATCTTACATGGTATCAAAGTCTTGACTTGTACCTTCTCTTATGTAGCAACTAGTATCTTATATCCTGTTTCAAGATTCAAATTTTCCTACTTCTAATTCTATACTAACATTGAAAAGTTTATAATGGTATGGATGAAACAAATATCAATCTATAGATCGATAATCCACATAATTGAATCATGTAAATTACAAAAAAATTATATAAACGTCTAAGAAACTAGTTTAACTACTTCTTTACTTTCTGGCTGTTCATCATACACTGTTGGTCAGAGGTCAACACGCTGTCCTAGTTTTTTAACCAGTGTTTGTGTCCATAAAGGACATATTTATAAGCATGTTTATAACCTTGATGTGGTTATAAAAAACATGTTGGCAGGACATGGTGTAATATGGCCTAATTGAAGTCTACCATTGTTTAATTTTATCCCCGTTTGCAAAACCTTATAAAAAGGTTCTTACTTTTTCATATGGCTTCAGTGTTAACTGTGTTCTTTAATTAGCCAAAGTGAAACCAAGCAAAATGAATAATGCTTCTCAGCAAAATTAAAACCCATTTGTTAATGTTGCTTTTCTTTTACAAACGCTGAAAATACCTCGGTATATCGCAAAGGTCTGAAATTTACACACAGACACACAAACACACAAAAACAAAACAAACAGAAAAAAACAATGCAAACATTAAGTCACAAAATTGTAAGATATTCAAGACTATGGTGCAATGGTATGCCTTATTGGTAGCTGTAGCCATTTTGTGATAAGAGAAAAATAATGAATATCTATTCTGCAATTTCAGCTAAGTGTACCGAGCCACTTCTTCATGCAAGCAAGAAGCAGAACTATATTGATGACCGTGTGGTTTCAACTAATAGCCTTTTAAAATGAGCTATTGATCCTTCCTGGCAATTATTTTAAAAGGAACCAAAAAAAGAAAAAGAAAAAAAAAAAAACCCACACAACTGATAAGAAACAGAGTGGACTCTTAGACTTATATACCCAGGTGTCTGTCAGAAGATAAACCATGACATAGTCTCGATAAGAAAAGCAAACATTTTTAATGGAATTTAAAACGTTTCCATTTGGTAGTTACTTAAATTTGTGGGTCACTTTTTCAGTAAGAACAGACTCTTGATATTAACATAGAAACCAGACATTTCCTGTGGAAAACAGGGCAACTATTTGACCTTTACAAGTATTCAAAAGGACAGACACAAATTTAGGGTAGTTTAAGGTCTTTCACAAACTTTAAAAATGTTGCTGTGGACCATGTAATTAAAATCTCCTTACCCTCAACTCCACTGATGCATTTAACACGATCGCGGACCTCCACATTGTAACCCTCAAAGGACATGAATACTCCTTCGGGGTGGTAGGGCTCACGCTGGGCGTAGACCTTGGAGTAGCTGTGCTGGAACTCGAAGCGATCATAGCCATCATATTGCACCACTTTACCGTACACTTCAAAGTATTTTTCCACCCAACTGAAGGGCAGGTAGATCTCCCCTCCCTCTTGCCTGCCTTTGATAGTGGACTCATCGTTGATGAGGCAGTCAATTTCTTCATATTTGATCCCACCAACAACGCCAACAACAGGTGGAGGCTCGGGGGGCTGTGGAGGTTGCTGCTGGCTGCTGCTGATCTTTGCACTTGGAACCACAAAGGCGGCCCGGGGAAGGAAACGGATGGAGATGTCACTGGAGCAGCGGTTCCATAGCAGCACCGTTATGAGTGTGAAGAGGGCGCATATAACTATGAGCGTCTTGTAGTTCACCCGTGCAGCCAGGCAGCGCATGGTCACAACCTGCCCCCATAAAACAAACACAAGTAAAGGGTCAAAAGCAAGCACAAATGATAGTGTTCACTTTGCACTGGGCTAAATAAACTTTCTTGTGACCTACTTTGAAAAATCAGAAGGTCATCTGTTTGATAAAAGACAGCCTTCTGTTTTACCTCATTGCAAAAAGATGGACGAAACATAAATTTTGCAACTGTCAAATTAGCTAATTTGAAGTTATTTACATCTCAACATCAATATAAAAGCTCAAAGTAGGTATAACATTCATACCAATAGATGTATCCAACATCTGACTGGTGCTGTATACATAATTACAGTATAGAGGAGTTGGTTAAAATGGCAGCTATGTATGTGACACATTGTTGATGAGGCAGTTAATTTCTTCACATTTCCTAAAAATGTCTTGGTTTTCATCCAGATGTTTCTTGCCTAATGTAAAATGACTCTTCTTTTTAAAATCAGTGGAACTCATAAATAGGATTATTCTCCAGTCTCTTCTTACTGGATCACGAACACTGACCTCAAAGTCTTTTTGGTTTATGAGATGTTTTCATCTTCCAATTGGTGGGTTACCGGTTTGATTCCCAGCTGCATTAAATCAAGTTGATTTTTGTTTGATTTTAGAATTAGTTTGATCTGAAAAAAAGTTGCAAAAGCAGAAGAAATAATAGCAATTACTTTTTAATGGCACTTTGAACTGCTGTGGTATTTTGTAAAAGTGTTTGGGGAAAATCTGCCATACATGTGTGTCAGGAACACACAAGGACTCAATTAGACCACACGTACCGCGAGTAAAATTGTGCATTCTGTGGTTCTGACGGTCCTTTGTCGCAAACAAGAACTTCTGGTTTGTGCTTTGATTTCCAGCATCTGAAAGCCTCTTATTAACTTTGACAAAAGCACTAAGGAAGCTGACATCTGTGACAGCTTTTCATGCATATCTTTGTGTTTCAATCACTGCTGTTCCTGACAGTGAGTAACAATTTACAAAGACTAATGTACATTTTAAAGTCGAGTTTTCTACATTCCTGCTTTCCTTCAGCTGGAGCTACAAAAGATCAAACCATGATGAGAGGGGTGTAATGAGGAGGGGGTCTCAAGATTTGTCAACCAGAACATTTCAATCTCGTTAATTGGGATTTCCAGCTCAAAACATGGAGTATTTCTTTATCGGTCAGCTAGCAAACCATAAGAGCTTCAAAAGTATGCATAATAAATATAGAAAACTATCCACACATTGTAATGCAGAATGCTGTATTTGAAACCATTTTTAGCAGTTATAGCAATTGAAAACAAAGTGTTAGTTTAGAGGAGTTGATCTGAATATTTCCTGAATCTAACTAATTACATCCAATTCAAAATGTAATGTATAATTTACAGCAAGTAGGGACAACACTACCCTTAAACTAAAAAAACTGCTCCCCTTAGAGAGTTTACTTTTATGGTTAAGACTATAATGCAAATTTCCAGAATCTGGACTCGGATGCTAAGTGATGGTTTTGTTTGTTATTTTAATGTTGCTGCCATTAAACTTTAGGACACCAAGTCTCTGACCTGGTCAGTCAATATTCTGTCTGCAGATCAAACTGAGTCTAAACCCTATTACCCTTTCTAAAAAGGTTTACACCATCACTCATGTTTTACATTGACATTTCTGAAACAATTCTTGAAATTTTTTTATTATTTTTAAATAAGCCTGCTTTATGTCACCACCACCGTGTTATCATTTACGTTCCACATTGGTCATCCATTCCCAAATAAATACACTATGCGATTAGAAATTGTGATTAATCAGTGTGTTAATATTTGGTATTGAAAGAGCTCTAATTGCAGCACACAAAGCAGACATGTTCCGAGCCCTATTGTGAGTCAGGATTCATGTTTCTCTTTGACATTTTCACCAAGCAAACAAGAAATCAATGCACAACCTTTAGCTTCCTCCTCCACACTAATTACAGCTTACTGCCCACAGAATTTACTGTTGAAGTGATGACCGAGGAGGGAGAGGGTGAAATCATTACTATCCAAGTTCATTCCACTGCCTCATCTTAAATGGGACACTGCTGAAAGTGGGTGTGATTAATGTACAATAATTCTGGCAATAGTAATCTACTTTTACAATGCAAAGTCAAATCACTGTGCAAGAGGTACCTGGAACAATGTTAATTTATGGAGTGGCTCCAATCAACAAGGGAGGTGTACACAGTGCTTTGAATAGCAAACACTGTCAGAATATAAATTCAACAAAGCATAATGCACAAGTCATATCAAATTATAATTGCACCTTCTGCAGCCCTGAACAAACACTTCTCATCCTGATCAATTACTGAAACATATATTGTTGACATATGGGGACGATACAGCTCAGTGTAGTAATGAAAAGCAAAACCGATTGGAGCTCCAACACTAGCAGAAAAATGCAAGTTAAGAAAATAAATAAATACACAGACTGCACACTGAAAGATAAGTAGGACTGGTCTTGACAAGCAACTTTCTATAAATGATAGTCTCTTTTTATAGCCCTCTGCTGCTGGTGTTGAGCTCACACTCCCAGTTTGAAATACACAGGGTTAGGTACAGAAGCATAAAAAGTATCCCATCGCCTTTCTCTTTGTGGCCACAAATCAAAAACAATGTCCTGTTTCAGAGATGCAAATTAGATGTTTTCTTTTGTAAATGGAAAAAGTAAGGGGAAAGAGACAGCTCAACTTAAAACTCCTGCTAATGCTATGCATTATTAAAATAACAAAAATAAAATACATATTCCAATTTCACCTTAGAAACCACATCTTCAAATTCTTCCAAAATGCATTAAATTTCAAAATCAATATTGCTCTTTTTAGATAACACAATGAGGTATAAAACTCTGTAGTTGCATTGAACAAAGAGTCCAGCAACTCACCAGCCACCTGGCCGATCAGGCTGAAGAAACTGTTGAACATTTGTCAGTAAGTTGTTGGTGTCTAGAGCTCAGAGACAAATTCAAGGTGAGGACAGCAACTACAGGACTATGAAGAAAAACCTAAAGTCAGAGATCCCAGAGGTTCTTTTTGGAAAGATTAAATGAAAGAGAAACTTGACTGAGTAGATGGATGAGCCTGTGCCGGGCCACCAACAGATAAAAGGAGCAAATCGAGCTAGAGATGTGTGGGTTGAGGTGCTGGTGTGAGCCGGTGTTGTCAAGAGATCAGCCAGACCTTTTTAAAGCAGATGATGAGCAGGAAACTATTTCCTTGACCTGTTTCTAAAAGCAAGCGCGATAAAGGTGCATTGTAAATTTTAAAAGGTCTAATATGTCTGGGAAGTTCTTTCTTTGCACTGTGGTAAACAGTCTTTACAACAACACCGCAAGAGAAGGACATTTAGAGGGCGCTTCATTTGAATATGTTATGGATTCAGAACATTTAGTCTGACCAACATCACAGACCGACAGCATCTAAATTGCTGGTTATTATGCTCAGGCAGCTTTCAAGGGTTAAATTGTTATTTTACTGTCAGAATGACTTTTTGTTTGTACCATTTGGAATCTGATTAAAGAAGTGATTTTTAATAGTCAAAAATGTTTGTTTTTCAGCCAGAGAAAAAATTTCCTCAGAGCCTCACCATTAATGTTCTGTCCACAGAAGGCCGTGATATTTTGCAAAGCATATTGTTTCAGTCCATTTGTACCTTCAGTCCACACAAAAAGAGTAAACCTTGTTTTAAAAAAATATGAGCTGCAATTGTTTTGGGAGAGCTGTTAGCCTTCAGCTGCTGTGCGTATTTGTATCTTCCCTTAAATTGGGGTGTAGTCGATAGAGGAAAGGATTGTTTGCATTTCAATATTGTTTTGTGGCTAGTTGATTCCAAGTGTCATGAATTTCGGTTTTGCATATTAAAAGAAGATTTTTTTCTAGGGTAGATGTTCAGAGATAGCTGGTTCAAAAGTACTGAATGTCCTAGAGAGAGTTGTACACATGTCAGAGGAAAAAAAATTATTGCAATTAATATAGCCAGTGAAATATTTAATATCACAATTGCATGATTTACTAATGCCGTAAACTTGACTGAGTTTACGGCAATTGGAAGTTTCTCCTTGCAATTAAATTTTCCATCAAATAAAACAGAGAATGTGTCCAAGACATACCACATTAGAGGATTAGACATTTGCAGTGATGCAATGAAAGATAGAGATGAGATGGTTTTACTGGACCAATCTGTGCTTCCGCTATTGAAACAAAATCATTTTATTATTTGGAAGGTAAAATCCATTTGTATTTGGGATAATTGACCAAAACATGACTGGCACACTAAATGGTGTCATCTCTGAGAACATTACCGGCCTCAATAATTTGGCACCTTACCCCACATATTCATCCGTGACTCAAACTGATCAGTCTCGATCTGAATAATGTTAAAAAAATAAATAAAGCTATCTCCAGTATTGCTGTTACTTAATCCATGCCTAAAGAAAAAATATTTACCAAATAACTTAAGAAGAGTA